CTTCAGAAAATTATTATTAAAAACAAATAGTGATGAAAAAAATAAAATTAAAGATTAAGCTCACGAGTACTTAAATGGAATTTACTGATATACCGCACAACTTTATATTACAAACTATCCTAGATCCAATAAAGCTAACTACAAAAAAATATACAAAGAGTTTCTTACATTGATCCTTTATTTAAGTTTATTTAATACAGTCTTCTTATAAGTATCCCAGATCCAATAAAGCTAACTACAAAACAAATACAAAGAGTTTCTTACATTGATACCTTATTTTAGTTTATTTAGAACAGTCTTCTTATAAGTATCCCAGATCCAATAAGGCTAACTACAAAAAAATGTACAAAGAGGTTCTTACAGTGATCCTTTATTTTAGTTTATTTAAAACAGTTTTCTTATAAGTATCCCAGATCCAATAAAGCTAACTACAAAAAATTTACAAAGAGTTTCTTACATTGATCCTTTATTTTAGTTTATTTAAAACAACCCTCTTATAAGTAACCCAGATCCAATAGAGCTAACTCTAAAAAAAAAAAATACAAAGAGTTTCTTACATTGATCCTTAATTTTAGTTTATTTAAAACAGTCTTCTTATAAGTATCCCAGATCCAATAAGGCTAACTACAAAAAAATATACAAAGAGGTTCTTACATTGATTCCTTATTTTAGTTTATTTAGAACAGTCTTCTTATAAGTATCCCAGATCCAATAAGGCTAACTACAAAAAAATATACAAAGAGGTTCTTACATTGATCCTTTATTTTAGTTTATTTAGAACAGTCTTCTTATAAGTATCCCAGATCCAATAAAGCTAACTACAAAAAATATGCAAAGAGTTTCTTACATTGATCCTTTATTTTAGTTTATTTAGAACAGTTTTCTTATAAGTATCCCAGATCCAATAAAGCTAACTACAATAAAATACAAAGAGTTTCTTACATTGATTCTTTATTTTAGTTTATTTAGAACAGTCTTCTTATAAGTCAACACCGCACTTAAACCGTTTAACGATATTTTCAAAAGGTTTTTTATCGCATTGAGCCAAATTAAGTGAATACACACAACACTGTTCAATGGTACTCACGCACTATGAAGGATTTGTGTGAAGGCGCAGTATTATGTAATTAAAATTAACTGACTATCTCTAGATATTTCGATTCAAAATCATTACAGAACGTCAATTTGATATTCTGCAATCACCTTCTAATCATTTGGATCGAAACCACGTTTAACAATATCCTTTAAATCGGTTAGAATCAAAGAAAACTATTAGCGTTGTCTTGATTTCTCTCTTGTGAAAGTATACTTTTATCTCTTTTGACTCTTCTGGTAGCTTTCATATTCTGCACTCTAAAGTACTTTTCGGCACATATTAGAAACACCAACATCATTTATAATAAGTAACGCTTACAGATAAGTAACTGTAACTGGACTGCTTCGGAGTGAGTGCCAAAAAGCTTTACAGGCTTTATATTTACTCATATCTTCGGTCGAAATTCGATAAATTTTACTTTTTGGTATTTCAGTTTCCTCTCCGAAATTTGCTGAATTTGATATTGAAAGAAACGCATATCACGCGCACAATTTTTCATTGATTTGGTCTACTCCGTTGATATAAACGGTCGTAAGAACAGGACCTTAAAGACGACAACTTGCTTTAAAGTCCTCATGGTGGCTTTATTCACGAGTTTGCGTGTCTATCTCCGATCACTCAACAAGAAATTAGATTGATCACATCGTGATTGATGGAAAATACACTTCAAATGTATGAAGAAACATTTCTCCAAACTGTTATATGACGATGGTACCTAATCAAAAAAGATGGTAATGTGATTTCATCACGTAACCATAACAAAATGCGTGTTAGCATATAGCGACTATTAAAAACTTCTCTAACGATTAGAATCACAGTAATCTCTGTTCTATTTTATAAAAAGTAGACTCGAGCATTTCCTCAGCCTAATACCAATTTCGTACAAAGTACTTTCAAGCGTACCACACCAACTTAATGATTGGTTCTAATAGGACAGTTTTTCACCTGATCACGCCATCATTGGCTAGATATTTATACTGCAACAAATCCTAAATTAAGCCAATGAGACCATAATTTTTATGCCGATTAGAAAGCAACTTCAGAAAGCCACATAAGATATTGTATTCATGCCGCAATGTTTACGTTTGCTATCCGTGCAAAGGACGTTGAACAGTATGCGTAGTTCCATTAAGATGGCTTATAACACTTATTAAGGTTGTTATAGTCAAGCAAGTTAAGCAAGTGATTAGGTCATATTGTATGTCATTGAATTTCAAAGCGAATAAAATAATTTATGAAAGTGCTATGATAAAGCACTTTAGTGCTATATTAAAGCAATTTAATTCTAATTTGAAGCCATGAAAGCTATATAAGATCTTATGTAAACTTATATGGTGTTAACTGTTTAATATAATTTATGTAAATATGACGAAGAATGTTTTATTTCCTTTTTCCGAAACTCTTTTGCTTTAACAAGTAGTACACCCTGCGCATCTGTACGGTTTCATTATTGATGAACATTTTATCAAACTTTTAGAAACATTTGTATAATTCTTAGTTCGTGCCTGTAGTTGTCTGAATTGCACTATTTTGTAACCAAAATTTATATTTCATAAAAGTAAAAATTATATTAAAAATTTTTTTTTGGATTGGATTATAAAGTATTGAAGTACCTCTTTTTGTTTTTTTTCGAATGTAGCTTCATACACTATATTGCACTATATCTCAAATTACAAGCATAATGGATGCATAGAGTGTATAACATATGATATTAGATCAATTAGAGTTCTAATTTCAGATTTTTATATGAGTAGCTTATCAACAAAATAAAAAGTATATCCAATATTTCGTCCCTACGTAATGATATCGTTATTTAAAAATTAATATCTAGGTCTTATTGTAAATATACAAAATTATAAAAAAATTTTTATGTAATTTAATTTTTTGTGAGAAATAAAATATCTAGAAAAGAGAACATTTCGAACGCCAGAATTACCCGAAAAATATGTGTTACAGTCTACTGTAACTCAAAAACTAAAAGCCGGAGCAACCCCAATTTTTACACAAGACTATAGTCATATATGTGTAAAAATATAGATAACATAATATAATATATGTAAGTAAAAATAGTTTTTTTAAATATAATACAATTTTAGTACAAAAATTATGTAAGAGAGGTAGAGAAAGCAATAGACGGGATGTAACGAATTCCTTTAGCAAAAATAGTAGACTATATATACCACTTTGAGTATCCTATTGAGATATTTAAAAAGATAGAAAACTTAACTATGCTTGGGTTCAATGGTTGAGAGGTTCCGATGGGCGCCTACAATAAGTATTTATATCATTTGATTATCTCTACTAGTTCATAAAATATCAATGTTTGCTAACAAGCTCTATTTCTGCCATATTGTGACATAAATCTGATCAATTGGTGTACATGACATTAAGCCTATAAAACATTCAATAAAATATTTAAACATTTAAACCTTTTAATGTATAGTATAAATTATATTTATAGAGAAGTCTTACTAATTTGTTCTATCATTGAATATATGTCTGTCTAGTGTGAAGGCTGGTTCTTACTCCAAAATTCTAAACACCATTAGAAAGAATCAGTAAAAAATATTTATAAATTTGTGCATTATATATATATTAAGACTCGTTGTGGGTCTTAATATATATACGTCTATTCTGCGTTGGCACATGAACACATTCAATCACTTTTGACATTTAACGTCCCATTTTTCATTATTGGTTTGGTTTTTGCTGTTGATTTGGTCATCCATCTATGAACATCTATTAGGAATCTCTCTAATTTTTTAATCGCATATTATAACAAGTAGCTTATTTTATTTCAATTTTAGCATATGACCATATATGTATATAAAATTGCCTCCTAGAAGTATATTCTTTCAAAGTTATATATAATAAGATAGATACATTTTTTAATATATTGTTTTTTGCTGGCAACTCTTTTACGTTATGGATGCCGTTATGGTTTCAAAGCTGTAATGCAATGCTATTTCAGGTTGTTAGTAAGTTATCCAATTAAACTGATCCTTGCAATTTATATCTCCAGCTATGTTAAATTTGTTTGAATATTTCGTTATGTTAAATAAATAAATCTCTCTGGAAAAATGACGTCGTGCAGCAAAAAATGTCCTATCTCAATTGAGATCAAGATATAGCTTAGTGTTAAACAGTTACTTATCATGCATTAACACGTCTATTCCCAATGTGTGCCCAAACTCCTGCTCTACTCTCAAAGACATCGTCCATCTGCTCTCCTATTTTACAACGCACACAAACCTCCGTCCTATTGACCTTTGGACCCACTCCATTGAAGTGGCCAGATTTCTCCGTCTGGACACAGGTTAATGTTCTATCAAATCCCACCCATCTAAACCACCCCTTTTCCTCATTCCGCCTCTCCAACACCCCCAATAACTACCCATCGATGTAATCGTATTATCTATCCTTTCATATTATCTGCTTACAAGTCCCAGCGGGTTACAACAATAACAACAACGATATGGAAATAAATTGCGCCTTTCGTTCAACACTTTTTGTAGAAGTTGCGAAAAATTGGACGAAAAAGAAACAAACACGCATTCTCTCTGTGATTGCTAAGATTTGGCTAACAGAAGGAACGTACTTTTAGAAAATATAAATTGAACTGGATGAATTTAGTTTTTTTTTTCAACGTCAATTACTTGATTACTTGATAAATAAAAAATAATCAAATTTGAAGAACAAAAATAAAATTAGAATATATTTTTAAATATATTTATTAGATAACAGACCCCCATGTATATTTTAGAATAATAAAGAATATATAAAAGCATCAATAAATTGCTATATATTATAATTTTTATTATACATATTAACGAAACACTTTCGAATATAGAGCTATAAAATGCACTGCATCAATTCTAGTAGATTCTACAATTAAATACAGTTATATATACAATTTATTTTTTATTTCATTAATAATAAATATTATAGTTACATTTTTACTTTTGAAAAAATCACATAAGTAGTCCTTAATAATTTAAAAACAATTTTATATATGAATTTTATTTTACAATAGGGTTTTTTATTAATTTTTTATTTTGAATTCATTCGCGTGTGGAAAATTTTGTAGAATTACAGATAAATATCAAAATAAGCTTAGTTGGAAATTTTAAATTTTGCGGACATGAATTTTTCAATAACAAAAAGGATTGTACTAATTTTGTAGACAAAAATAAAATTAATAAAATTAAAATATCTATGCGAATAGTTAGGTATTAATGTTAAAATGCAACTAAGTGTGTATGTGTGTATGTGTTTGTGGTGTATTTGTATACCAGGGTTTGACAAATTTGTTATTATGTCAAGAAGACAACAAAAAATATAAAGAAAAATATTAAAACACCAAAAATTTTAATCATTAGCCAACGATTTTTTGATACCGATTGGAAGTACTTCAATATCTCACTATGTGCAGCATCAATATTCATTTCGGCGTCCTGTATATTCGTATCGATCCGTTCTACAATCTCTTCTTGCTCTTTAACCATATGCGCCAATTGTTGGAAAATACCACCCAACTCAACAATAGTGGATTCAATGTTTTGCATAGTTTCGGCGCGCTGTTGGACATAATTATCGGATTCATCGTATAGTGCAATCTGTTGTTGTGTTTGTATACGTGCGGGCGGTCCAAGTAATGGCGTTGTATCGCTAGCTGACATATCAATGCTAACTGCCTGATTCTCTTCGCTAAGCAGTAATGATCCTTGTTTCGCTGTCGTTGATGAGACGGAATTAACTGGTACTGGTCCCTGACTGAATTGATCTCTTCGATTTTTTTGTTGCTTGAGATTTTCGGTACGCACTTCAAGTATTTGCTTAAAATCAGTGCTCATGCTTGCTAATTTTGATTGTAAAGCTAAAACCATATTTGAGGAATGTGAGACGAGATGTTTGCCATTATTAGTACGCTTCTGGTCCTTGGAGATATCTTGTAGACGAGCAATTTGTTGATTCAGTGCACTCAGATCACCTTTGATTATATAAGTCAATTCCTGGATTTCTTGTGATCTATCATCGAACAAGCTCTTCTTTTTGGCCACTAAAATAAATAAAAGTCAATTAATTTATATTGTACAGAAAAATTTTTCTATATATAAAAATTATTCATTAAATCTTTTCTCTTACAATAAATTAAAAATATATATAATTTATTGTAAACATACAATAAATAAAATTATTTTTTTATATCAAGTAGTTTTATGTAACACACTATAGACTGGTTTTTTATAATTTTTTTGCTACTAGGGTAGCATTGACTCCAATTCAAGATGTTATTTAAAAACAAATTCTAACTGTTCTATAAAAAAGAAATAAATAAAATATTTCATAAAAAAAATTACAACTCAACTTTAATAAGTAATTTTCTTTTAATTGATCATTTTAAGATTTAAAGTACCTGTTCTATGAATAGAATGTTTTGGGATTAAGATTAAAAGCAAACGATTGACATATGGTCATTAGAACGACTTATGGTTTTACCTGAACTTACACTACCATCTTCCATATATATTAAAATATAGTCCTAATGACATATTAAAATACATCAAGAAAATGTAATAACAATTTCAACCTTATTTGGGATAATACTTCTAAGTGGTATAGGAATTTCAATATATCTTCTTTAGCGTCTTCTTAAAGCAAATTTCACGATTCAGCTTCTTCGTCGCAGTATCTACACCTTAGAATTGAAGCTCAGGCATCCCTTTATAGTGACTGGCATAACTTAATATATGTATTTAATTTATGATATTGTTGAGTAAGTGCATAAACCAAAATTAAGTCTTGCTATTATAGTTACCGAATAGTAATTTAGTTTGTTTCAAACCTTTAAAGATTGCGAAGAGTTTCTGCCTCTCTTGACTTTCTTGCTACCTAAGCACTCGCCCTTATACTCATTTTGGTTTGTAATTTTATGTTGCAGTTTAGTTGACGCTCGATTATCACCATAGAGACCGACAACAAGTTAATCAGCTGTCTTATTTTTATGGATAACTGCATGTCCAAGAATCGAGTGAAAGCTCACTTTTCTTGCTGTCTAGCTAATTTAATTTCTGAAGATACCCCAATAATAAGTTAGGATCAACTTCATAGGAGCTTAATGCTCAAATCGCTACTGAACTGACGGATATTATGGTTATGTTTCTCTGATAGCTTTGTAAAGAAAAATCTGTGCATATCCTTCGATGGCGAATACTTCTGTTTAGAAAATCTTTTAGCTTTCACTAAAAAAATTAACAGATAGAGAAAAATGATAACATAATCAAACGTGACAAAGTCAGAACTATATGACTGATACATTGGATTCAAATTTTGCCGGAGTATAAAAGATGTATGTTCACACAATTTATATTGAAACAATATTTTTTATTTTCAACTAATTCTGATCTTCAATGATTAGGGTCTAACAATGACAATAACGACAGTTCCATTTTTTACAAAATTGCATTATGTCGATAGATTTGATATAAAGTCATGTTGAAGTTATTAGAAATATACGAGTATATACACCCAAAGAAAATATCGTTAAAACAGTACTAAATTAGTTCTCATTATGGTTCTAGTGATACCAGACGATCCCAGAGAGGTTCTACGCACCCCTTCCAATAAATATTGAAAAACCAATTTTTAGTTTGTTTACAATAGCATGTTTTTGCTATTAACTATTGAAAATCGTTTCAATAAATTGTCTGAAACAATGAAACGGTAAATAATTATTTAAAAAAATATCAAAACTTATGTTCTATAACGAACTATTAAAATTTACCATTATTCATCATTTTGACTATCTAAAAAAAAACACTTGTCATTGTACTGAGAATAAAAAATTTATTATAACAGAACTGTCCAGATGTTATTACTAATTTGTACCTACAAAAACCAGATTTAATCATAACTAAAAAATTCGTTTTCTCAATAAAATTTGAATAAAATTAATTACAAAAACTATTAACAAATCTTTAAAAAAAAATCAATTAATTAAATAATATAAAAATGAATTTTTATTGTGGTAGTACACTACTTTACGAAACCTCTTTAATTAACAAATTTGTCTAATAATAAAAAATAAAACTAGCCATCTTAATGTCACGTTTAATAGAAGGAAGATAAAATAATTGGATAATAATAGAAAGTATAAATGTACGCGTGGACCCAGTTTAAATTCAGTATCCCTACCTGTTCCATCTTCCTTACTCCATCCTTACTTCATATTAATTTTCTCATCCCAACCAATTATACAGTATTTTATCAACCTTTTATGTGCTTGCTTTCAGGTGAGCGTTTGAATACAACAACAACAAAGAAGGCGCAACGAAATGGAGATGTTGAACCCCTATCTAAACTTAGAGATACGACGGATCTAAAAATCAAAACAGATGAGTAAAAGCATAAAATGATATATAAATAACTGTCTGCCATGAGTATAGCCGAAAATCAATTCAGACGTCTTGGAAACTTTTTGCAATACAACCATAGTCTAGAAGAAGTTATTCGACCTCACTGGTACAAAGAAGAAAAGCAACGTATGCAACTTGGAAGAAGGTCTCTATTCACACTATTCACTGTTGCGTCATTTAGATGTCTATTTGTTTGGCCCGTATGAAGATATGGTTTTGGAACCAGCCGGTTATGTTCATTTGTATAGAGCATTTAAAACACTGCGTAAAGATGAGGAATATGCGACATACGTTGGTAATCGGTTGAAGTGCATAGTGCTGAGCTATGACATACTAAAGCAGTATAAGCCGTAATAGATTACTCTATTGCCTGGTATGTGTGTAGTAGGATTTCTTTAACTTTATTCTTTTATTGCTTTCAGCACGTTGTTGCGACTCTTCAACCAAGTATTGCGTACGACACCCAAGATTTCGGGTTTGGTAATAGTAGGTATCCTGGATTCATCGATGGAAATGTGCAGAATCAGAGAAATAAAAAAGTGACTAACCATTTATACCATTTAGACGTATTGGTTAAAACACTTATTTAGTACCTAAAAACGATCACCGATCAAGATTTAAATATGCAATCATGTACATACATTAGTACATTCATAATTATTCTTTAGTTGCCTGAAAAATTTGCATATCTACATAATAAGCATAGAATTAAAATAGTTAACACACTTACATAAAGTTAGTTTTTCCAATTTGGCATATGTGCTGGCAATGTTCTTTCCAATGTATTTGGCGATATTCATAAACTCCGAATAGCTTTGCACTTGTTTCGCTTTGCGTGGATCGCGTATGGAAACAGCGCGCGATATATTACGAGACTGCAGTGAACGTATAGCACTCGTAAATTCACCTGTACGATCTCTTGCGGCCATAACGTAGACAATTTCCTTCGAACTACTCGACTCTGAATCTGAATCGTCTAAATCGTTTTGTAATTTATTTGTCTGCTGTTCGGCTTTGTATGCGTTGTATGTTCCTGATATATCCTGATTAAAATCGTGATTTTCAATGGGAGAATGATTGCCAGTCACAACGGCCGCAGCTGCACTTAGGGGCTGTTGTATAAATGTACGCAATGCTTGTCCAGAAGTGGCCTGTATACGTGTAGAAAGCGCACGTAAGTTCCACTGACGACTAGCTTTCGAATACTTGTCGTCAGCGTCTTCGATTGGCAGATTCTTCGCCGCAGTATTATTATTGTTATTATATTGCGTATGCGCTTCTGGTGACTGGTGTAAACGATGTCCGTCACCTATCAGTAAAGCAGTGTCGTTGTTATTAGCTGTGGAGTAATTTGTATGTGGTGCGGCTGTAACACCAGCTCCAACTAGTAGTGGATTTTGATATTGTTGTTGTACTGTCTGGTATTGTTGTGCTGGTAATAAAATATATCCCTCGTCCTGACCTCCCGTGTGTAGTATTGTTTCTGTTTGATGTAAGCGACGTCGTGTTTGCATTTCATTATCTAAGGCCGCTGTTAACGCCTAAAATATTTTGCTAAATTGCTAACTTATAAAAAATATTAACTTTAAAATATTTTATAACTTTCGCTTAATTAATGAATGTTCATTTTACACTTCTGTAGCTCTCATTCCTTGAAATTACTATACAAGGTTATTTGTCTTTTGCACTGCAAAACTATTTTGTTATTACTATATGCAAGTAAAGTAAACAAACATCTCAAATTAACTAAAAATTTTTTTACACAATATTGTACCAAATTTCTGCATATAATAATTAATGGCTTTTGCTTTTGCTTTTGTCATACAAAACCCCACAAACTTCATTGAAAGACAGATGATACGTGTCTAAAGACTTAGTGTTGCCAACTTCGCGTTTTTTCTTTATAAAACAATCATCAAAAATATATTAAAATTTTAAAAATTTCATATGAATTTTGAACATCACACTCAAAATTTTAATTTTTAATATAAAAACTTATTTTTTACATGGTATTCATATTAAAATTTATTTGTTAAGAGTATAATATAAAAAATAATAAGGAATTTTTTCACGGAATTTTAAAAATTTATTACTCATCTATGCAAATCGTACTGTCAAGGCAACAGCTGTCAAATGGTATACGTCAGACATTTCAACACAAATTGGTCGCATGCACTTTGACACTTTTCGTAGAATTTTGTGCTTAGCTCAGTAGTTGAACGAATGCTTATAAATTCTAAATTATTTATATAGATGATAGTATTAAAATAATAAGGTATTAAAATTTCAAATTATATCAAGCATTAAAGATGACGTTGTACCATTTTGGTAATTGTGTTGCGCTCGTTTATGTGCCATACTACATGACCTACAAATACTCTGGCCTGTAAGTGAATTTAGACATTAATTCAATTAGTTATTAATGTAATGTGAGAAATAATCAATTAAAAAAATTTTTATAGTTCTGAATATGGCGCATTTTGGAAGTGTATACAAGCTGGTGGCATTTATATATTTACACAGCTTTGTAAAATGCTTGTGTTAGCAACTTTTTTCGATTCTGATACTTTAAGTAGTTCGTCGGACGGATTTAATTTTATTGCTGTAATAAAATTCAATCAATGTTTACTTAACCTAGATGTTTAATGGTTATTATTTCTTTTTATAGGAATTTTTGCGATCAAGTGTCGATGTTGCTGATTTACTCGGTTTTGCTATAATTCTATCAAGAATACCCGGCAAGGGACATAGTAAACTGATTACTGCCGGCATTGGCTGGGCAGCAGCTGAAGTAATTTTATCACGAGGCATTATGCTCTGGGTGGGTGCGCGTGGTACAGAATTCAGTTGGGTGTATATACTTAAATGTGTGGAGTCAAATGTTTTATTGGTATGCATAAATTATATTAATATTTAAAAATTTAATTTTATTATTAGAAATAGTTGTATAGTCTTATCTTATATCTTATGTTGAGGTTTTTCCGTGTTAGCGCAACTGCGCAATTTTACTCTTTTTTAGCTGGGAGGTTTCTACAGAGTCCCTTCCTTATCTTTGTCTAATTTATGTATTCCCTATAAGCTTCGCTGAATATTTGATGATTGAACTAAGATCTGTATACCGCCCCGTACGGCTAATGACTAGTCTGAGATTAAATAGTACTATGTAGAGCAGTCTGTCCGTTTTTCGCGTATAGCTTTAGCGCTCTGTCCCTTAAGTATTTCTTTGACCGGATCTATAATGATTTGTCTTAACGTGTCTTTAAACATGCTAAAACGTTTAAAGTTTTTAAACTTTTGTCTGCAGTAGTGTTTGAAGTGGGTAATGAAATCTGCCAATGATTCCACAATGGGCCGCAGACTTCTGTAAGTTCTAATGGGCCCAAACTTCTGTAAGTTCTAATGGGCCCCAGACTTCTGTAAGTTCTAATATAATCTATTACGGACATACAAAACTCTATTAAACAAGTCTAGTGTAATGTCCTTAATCAATAATTAGTCATTGTGAGAAGTATAGACTCTCTATAGTGTGTAAAGCTAACGACCGATTATCATTGCAAATATACTTCCAACACTATTGTAAATTATTATTTAAAATACAGTTTTTTAAAATATAGTTGGGATAATGTAATTTTCAAAATTTAAACCAGTTTAATTTAATTTAAAAGCATACATACCATATGTCATAAAAACTCAGGACTTCGCATAGAAAATGTTTTTTTTTTCTTTTCGATGTATCGATTTTTACTTTATTGTTGAGTAAAACTTTATCTATGGTCGAATTAAATATTATGCATTCTTAGCAGAGACGATGATGCTCGATAATAATGGCTATCACATTAGCTTCCATAACAAAATAAAATATTCTCGAATGCTTTATAGATTTTTATAATGATATTCCTAGTAATATCAGTACTTTTTTCAGCAATAACTAATAGTATCTGTTAAAGATTTCTGAAGCAGTTATGGGTTGTGATTAAAATTTTTCTACAATTTATTTAAATGTGCATATAAGATCTATTGGTATTCGTAAGTTATATCTTTGAAAAAAAAAACGCTTATTATTTTTATTTCACTAGTATATAGTATTTTAAGTATTTTCGACTAAAAATACTAGCCGTAATCTTCTCTCTATCTTCTTCTCAGCTTATTTTTTTTTTCAAACATCAGCTTATCTTCTTGTATTTTGAAATGTTTTAGTAATTTTCGTTATTGCTTAATAATATAGCAAATAATATCGAATCCAAAATAAAATTTCTTAATAAAAATGTTCTTCTATCCTTACAGATCCAACATATTACAACGGCGACATTAATTTGGCTATTTACCCGCCACGATTTAAATAAGTCACTAAAGCCATTAGTGACAGTACTGCTTGCAATTACCATATTCAAAGGAGTTTGGCTAGAGGGTATTCTAGCAGTGCTGGCATTTGGACCATGGGCCTCCATTGCCATGAAATTGTTAGTCGCTGCTTTAATGGGATTTGTTTCTCTACATATTTATACAAATTTAGCCCAAAAAATTGGACTTTAAATTTTATTTTATTTCAATTTAACATTTCTTAATAGTTTTATATTTATTCTGTGAAAAAGTATTTAAACTATTATTAACTAAAAATAGTCATTAATTAATTTTGTGGAAGTTTTCTTTTAGTATGAATTTTACTATATCAATAAGAGATGTGGTTGAACATTCTTTGTAAGTAGCCAATTGATTATTTTTAAAGAATGGAGGTTTCTTTGAGATTGTTTTTTTTTTATGTAAATTTAATACAAATAATAGTAGTGTTATTGAACAATAAATAATAATTTTCTAAAACTATATACCTAATACGAGTAGCCATATTTTTTTACAATAGAGATTTTTTTTTAAATATTGGAAATCAAATTTTTGCATAGCTATAATATTAATCACTGAAAATGAAATGATTATGTGTCTTAGTCACAAAAAACACTTGACTGTGAGAAAATGAACCATTTTTTAAACAAAATGGTTCAACCAGAATATTATACAACATTTCGAACCATTAATTACACTTTTGTGGTTATAACCTACTATCTCGATATTATCTCTCTTGGAGTAATGATTGACTTGTCTAGGTAAACGAACAACTTCCTTATTTAAATGCTTCTACGTAGATTATATGCAATGAATTTATTAGTGTTTCAAATATATGAAAGCATATTATGGGTAGATTCGCTGAGAGTAGAGTAGAAACGTCATATATTGACATCAGTACATTCAGCATACCGTACGAGATCTAAGACCGTTGTGCTGGTTATCAGTGACACCTTACACAGACTAACAAAGAACACAGACTAACAAAGAAAATTATCAATGAATAACCAATATATGAACCCTACCTTGAAGCATTCATGATAATGTTCTCGCGTAAAAACCGTGTGGTATATGGTATGTTTTTAGTCCATGCAAATCGGGCATACCACTATTGCATTGATATAGTGACAGTGCGTTAGCTTTTTTTAAATTACCTCTCCGCACAAAAGAAAAAAAATTAAAAATAAAATGCTGCTTGTTTTAGTTAAGTAATAATATTAACTGAGAAAGTACTGATTTTGTGTTATATATTAAAAAGTAGAAACTATTAAATACTAACCTAAATTAGTTCTATGAATCATTGGTATTCAATTAACTTATTAGCTTTTTTTGATAAGAGACTTGGATCCTCAAATGCATCACAACACAATTCCAGTAATGATTCCAGAACCACTCATTTTCTATAACCAAGTTCCCTACGGCAATTGAACAAGTTAAGTAAGATAAACCCAAAATGAGCAAAACTAACGACGCTACAGCAACTGCAGTCATACACTTTAGTTATATATGACACTGGTGTGGATCATAAGCGTTTAACGTTCACTTCCAGATCCAGTTGATCAAGGCATTCTAGTAAAAAAATATGACTTTAACTTAAGTATATTCATTTTCATTTAATATTATAAAATGAAGAAATATACCAGAGAATAATATTCCACATACGTTATCTTTCACATACGTCTATCACAATGGGCCTATAGACCTACCATAAGTGGATCCCCCTGGGATCACCAGCACAACCTACGTTATCTTGATCATTTTAATCAATTCGATTTGTAAATGATTTCTTCGGGAACTAAATGACAATGGAAAATTAAGGTGTATACCACAGAATATTACTCCAGTTCTACTTATACCATTTCCATCAATGCGAGTTGCAAGATATATTGTGAGATGTAATGAAACTTTGTTTATAGCGGAATTGCTTTGTAATATTTAATATGGTTTAAAAGACAATCATAGAGATCGAAGTCTAAAGCATCTAGCGTATAAATAGCTTTCCTTTAAAAAAACACGACTTCTCTATTCAATTCAAATGGAATCAACCTAATAAATCTAAAAACTTTGCTATGTCCCTAATTTAAAAGGATTACAACCATCTAAGTTTTAAATATTCTTCTTGCTTATGACGGAGTACATTTGCCTCCTAATCCGGTGAATATTAATGCCAACAGAAGTCGTTAGAAAGGAGATCCCAATACGTTGTGACCATTCAAGTAAGCACCGATACGGTTGTATCGAGTAGTTAGTTTTTGTTAAAGCAGCTGATTGGTATGAATTTTGGCCAATTTAATTTGGATGAGTTTTGTAAAGTGATGAAAATCTTTAATTAGTCAAGCTTTCCTTAGTAAACCTAGGTATTTAGGCTTAATAATTATTTAAGCCATTACAGGAGGGATACGATTATCTAAAAACAGAATTTTGAAGAGCAGTGTAATTGCTTTGCCAAGTTGGTCTGCTTGACAGTTTCCCGAGATGAATCTGTATCTGTACGCCCATATGAGTTAAATACTCACAATCCCAGACCACTCGTGAAAAGGAGCAGACCATTTTCGAACTCTAAGAGAAACAACTGTAACGTCCATTGAAGAGTTAATAGTAGCTTGGTTGTCCGAGAAAATTGCAATACTCAAGTCAAACATCGTATGTCTCAGGGCCAACTTTGCTGTATACTGAATTGCATTCACCTCTGCTTGGAAGACATCGCAAAAGTTGAACAGTCGAAGCCAAATGCCAAGAACCACAACCTCTCGAACATCGACCCTGCTCTATTTTATAACGATATATTGGTTTGTAGTACCTATAGAAGTAAAGCAACTAAACGAGTATGTCTAACACTAATAATATTTATTATGCATATAATTATAACTTCAAATACTTGCTGTAATATTATTTTGAAATATTTGAATTTTAATAAAATTACTTTTAAAATAATGCGCAACTTTACTTTTAATTGTATTAATTTACATTTTTGAATAAATTTGTGTACATCTACTGCAACGCATTATATGATAAAACAAAAATTGAATTTGTGTTTAGATATTTTATTGATTAACATTAGTTAGACATTTTAAATATATAACAAATAAAAACAATTTATATTTAAGATAAATAAAAAAGATGAAATCTCAATTTAAAAAACAAAGCAACTTATAATTATATAATTATATATATGTTAAAGGATATAGTTTTACATAGTAAATACATAATATTTAAACAAATTAATTATTAAGATGTAAAAATAAAATAATACTTTAATGTATAATGTTAAAATAATTATTTTGTAATGGTTTGAGATCAGTTATGTTATTTGATATATTATTAAATTTAATTCGAAAAACGGAAAAACGGACATTATTATAGAAAATAAATTACATATCTACGTAATATATTTTTATTTGTCCTTTTGTATATTTATGGAAAGGAAACGTTTTTTACAAGCAGAAAATTCTGCTAAAACTTTTTTTTTAAAGGCTACAGACTAAAAATCTTAACCAGATATATTTTATGTTGACTTATAATGTTAAAGGAATTCATTTTTAATGGTTTGAGATCAGTTATTTAATTTTATGTATTATTAAATATATCTACATATACATAGAAAAAAAATTACATGTCTGCGTAATATATTTTTATTTGTCCTTTGTATATATTTATGGAAAGAAAACGTTTGTATGACTAAATATTTTTCACAAGCAGAAAATTCTACTACAATTTTTTTTTAAAGGCTACAGACTAAAAATCTTGACCCGATATATATTTTATGTTGATTTATAATGTTAAAGGAATTCATTTTTAATGGTTTGAAATCAGTTATGTTATTTGATATATTAAACACATCAAAAACTTTAAATCGAAAAACAGACATTATTAAATTATTATTTGTCCTTTTATATATTTATGAAAAGGAAACGTTTGTATGACTAAGCATTTTTCAAAGCAGAAAATTCTACTAAAATTTTTTTTTTAAAAGCTACAGACTAAAAATCTTGACCAGATATATTTTATGTTAATTTATAATGTTAAAGGAATTCATTTTTAATGGTTTGAGATCAGTTATGTTATTTGATATATTATTAAATACATCAAAAACTTTAAATCGAAAAACAGACATTATTAAATTATAATTTGTCCTTTTATATATTTATGAAAAGGAAACGTTTGTATGACTAAGCATTTTTCACAAGCAGAAACTTCTACTAAAAATATCTGTAAAGGTAAAGGTTACAGACTAAAAATGTTAACCAAACATATTTTAAGTGACAGAGTTGCTTTCTTCCACTGTGCTCTTAAATCACTTAATAGACTATACAATTTTCTTAGTTATGCAAATACATCTATTCTAGTAGACGTATACCATAATAATTATAGTAGTCATAAATTACAATTAACATAGATAATATTTTGAATCAATCAATACATCTATAAATGTAGATCGGTCACATAATCCGTATTTACTAGATATTGACTAGATGTATGATGTATATTATCTTTACTTATTTCGTTTGAATTTTAGGGTAATGCTAGTCGAAAGCCTACATCGTTTATAAGTTATGTTAAGAAAATAAAATAGTGTAAATAACAAAAAATTAAAAAAATGAAATAAATGTAAGGGGAGAAGGAAAAGGAAAAGAATAAGAAAATATAATATGCATTAATGAATTGTCCCGTTTAGTTGAGAAATTTCGGTCCACGCCGTATGTATCCTATATCATTAGTATTCATTTGCTTATCTAACTGTATATAGTTATGCGCGGAAAGCACTAAAGTATAAAGAAATAAAATAAGTATGTTATATTTATATTTTTATAAGCATAAGAAAACTATATTACCTAAAAGCGAAGCGAATGCCAGAGCCCGATCAATACGATTATCTGCGGAAATGCAAAATTCTATAGCATTGATGATATATTTTGCATCTCCTTTACGTAGCCAAATGTTAAGTAATTGCATAGCCACTCCGTATGTATTCCATTTCTTCACGTGTACTGACGGCATGTTCTAGTAAAATAAAATATAATTGGTTTAAAGAATTAAAGAAAAAACAAATAGTATTCTTACATCTACGGGCACTAAAACGTTTTCCTTAAACTTATCGTTATTAATCTCATCAGACTTATTGAACGGTGCTTTATTCTCTTTTCTTTTGCCATTGACGGCAAGCTTACGCATTTTTGTAGGAGGCTCTCTTGCTTCATTTATGTCAGTCTTACGGTTTATGGTAATACGTTTTTGTCTTAATGTTTTATCGTTATATAATTCCTTCATCACTGACATCATTTCATATTTTTCGGTAACGTGTGACGATGAGGGTCCTTTTTTTCTGTTTGACTTTCTAATAAAATAAAAATTAATGCAATCAATGATAGTTATAAGCTCATAAATAAACTAGTGTCAATCTGTTTTAAATTATGAACCCTATGCAAAAAAACTATGAGTATATGAATATCACATCTAACAAATTTAGTGATATGTTACCAGTCATGTTGTTACATTTCTATTAGGAGAACGAGAATACCATTTTAAAATCCTTTAGACACACTAAATTGTCAACGTTTTGGAAAAAATGTTTAGATGCTCATACTCGTATTTAAGATACTACATATAAACTAACATCACAACAACGTTCCCAACTTCTAATAAAAATAAACAAAACCACATATGTTTCATTATTTTACAAACGGAATTGACTTAATCATCTCCGATTTGCATAAAATTGTGATGTGTGTTTCGGTTTAAAAATAAAAATACCCATATATTAATTAATTATTTAAAAATACTTCTAAAAAATAATAAAACTCGTAGGAAAAAATATATACATTTTACCGGAATACTAATAAAAAAAATTTTATTAATACCAATGAAGCCGTTACACTTATACAAAACTGATCCATATGCGGTACAACATTTAAACAGCTCATTCATTTCAACAACAAAATCGACTAATTTGTCAGTGTCAATAAATCTACCCTCAGATTATTCACTGAGATCTTAACTAGCTCTACCTTAACTAATAACTATCTTAATAGTATCAAAGATATGATTAAAGGATAATAACATTTTTTTAAAAACGGAGTAAAATTTGAATCAAATGAGATCCGAAAATTCAAACCAAGAGATATTTATTTATGGATTATTTAAAAACTTTTTATTGTCTGGGGTGTCTCTCTGCAGAGATGGTACAATAAATTGCAGGTTCAAGAACTCTAGGAGTTTTAAGAAATGCATACTCTACAACAAAGTTTCCACTACTAGATTTGCAGAACTAAAAATAGTTCCAAATCCATTTAAAAGCTATAGATACCTATATAAATTCACTACGGAACTCCGATTTTACAGGTACACTATAATCAATTATTTTCACTATGCTAAATGCCGATACAGCTTACTTCTCGAGTTATCCATGTTCAAAGTGTTTAAATATTTGCATTGATTACGCCATTTTGGTAAATTTTCTACGCTGTATGTCGATAGAGTTTACTTCTCGAAATATCTAGGTTTGCCTAATCATATATTCATTACACAAACAATGATTAACATCTCCAAATTGTTATTAGTAGTTTTCATGTAAAAATATCTAACATTGACGTTGTCCGTTGTCTTAAACATTGAGCTACACAGCGTAGTGGAAAATGTTGTTTAAATTAACTGTTTCCCCTAAATTACTTCATCAAATGGGCAGACACGGGAAATCGGAATTCTTCTAACTATACATATCACACCAAAATAATCACTAAAACAAAACAGCTCTAAAACTAAAGTCATTTTTCAGAATTATAAGTATACTTAAAAGTTCTAGGAGTTCGAGTAATTGCTATTATATTGTTTATGCTTATATAAAAAAAAGACATGTATATAGAATAATATATAGAGCAGATCAGCTGTTCGAACAGTTTCGACATTTTTTAGAGCACATAAAATATTTCATCAAAATATTCCAATTTGAGTATACTCGAGCATTCGAGAACTAACAATGTCTCTAAAAAATGAAACAGAACTTTCGATCTGAATGACATATCGACTATATATATATATATATATATATATATATATATATATATATATATATCAAACATGAATATAACATCCTATATGCGACTTTATTATTTGAATTTGCAAACCTTATATAATAAACATGAAATGTATGTTTGCATGTTTGTATTTTGAGTGGACTGAGACCGTAAGTATCTACAAATTCTACTAACCGAATAAGGACCTATTGCTAGAAATTTAATTAAGAAGTAGAGTTGGTTCATAATCACTAGATTATCACGCATTGGTTATTGAACCAATAACGTCTGATTTTTTAAAATTATTTACCACAATAATATATGTCTTTATACGATATACTGTATATAATTATAGCAGTCGTATTTCAATTCTTACCTTTTTGCCACAGTTACATCAGATGATTTTTTTAGTCCTAAGTAATTTAAAAATTTTTCCTGAGCCTCTTTTGTTGCGTTTTCTTCAGATACACTATTTTGTTCACTTGGTTCCAACTGTTCCACAACAATGTCATTCTAAGAAGACAAGAAACACTTTTATAGCAGAAATGAATTTTGAATGTTTTTAAATATTGTATAATTTACCATTATGTGAAAAGCATATGGAGAAACAAGTTCCTCTATTATATAGTTTTTACATCTAAAAATATTATACTCATATTATATATTACAATATATCATATTATATTACTACATTCAAAGTGTTATAATTATATATACCTGTTTTCATCCATTAACGGGTCGCTAATAATCATTTCCATGTTTTTTGCGAACTCCTCTGAATGTGCACGAAGCAACTTTAAATAAACTTGACTTTTGCTTTTGCGATCTGGATCTACAGTAAGTAAAGTAGAAATAAGGAGTATTGCATAATATTATATATTTGTAAATGCATTTTTGTAAATATATATTTATGTATATTTACCTTTCACATCTTTTTTGATAGTCTTTTTTCGACCTCGCTTTGCTGCGGTGGCTTTTTCATCGGTTAGAGGTTGAACCTAAAAAAAAATATTCTTAGATCTAATTATTGTTTTATACAGAAAATTTGTCTTTTAATATAAATTTTATTTAATAATATTTATTATTATAATAATTTTTTTACTAAATTAATATTAATTACTTTTATAATAATTAATTAGTTATAATTGTTAGTAATGATTTTTTTATCACATTCTAATTATAATCATCATTATCAACAATTCCTATCATATTAGTAATAATTATTATTATATAATAACATAAAAGAATTTAATTTAATTATAAAAGATAATATAATTATTTAATATAACTATATAATATAATATGTCGTATTTATATAATAATAATTATTGTTAATATTGTTCTAAAATGTATTAATTGTTATTATGAAATAATTGTTGTTATTATATTAACATTACATATAATATATAATCACAATATAATATTAATAATAATCATTTTTTTTAATATTATAATAATAATAATTTTTATTAATATAATACCATTTTTATTTAAATATAATATATTTATAATAATATAAAGTTTAATATAATATTATTATTAATATAAGCAGAATATTAGCAATTATTATTTTAATAATATCATGAATAATATTTGTTATTTAGAATTGCATTATTAATTATTAATATTATACTATCAAGCATTATTAATGTAATATTTTAATTTAATATATAATTTATATTAATATGGAGGTGGAATGCTTTATGCGCCGTCAGATCGACCGTCGTCGGTATGGTGTGCCGACTCTCCAGCATTAATATGTAGTACACGGACTAAAATATGCCCTCCTTGACGTAACTTATTCTCCCTCGGAACCGCCCAGTTTTTTCAGATATATAATCGTGTACGAATCATTTCTTCATCCATCCTTGCATATCTATCACTTTAAGACTGAAGTTGCTCCACTAAGTTATCGTTCTCATAATCATATCTTCAAATCAAAAAAAACCTATGATAACAATAATATATATACTGTTAAGAATTGTTCCGACTCAATAGACCTCTGCGTACAATAGGGTACAAGTCATGTTACACATATTTTTAATATCGACTCTATAACATTGCACTGAAAAGCTTTCATACCGATGTGAAATTTTTACTTTTTACAAACTAACTTCTATTCTGATTAAAGACATGACATGACATATATTTATGGATATAGAACTGCTCTCAGCGATTAATCTCATATAATATAATCAATTTTAGTATTATAATAAGAATAACACAAATATAAGTTTTTTAAAAATTATATGGTAATACTCACCGCCAAATTTGGCATACCGATATTCTCATGATTGTTAACCGAATCCCGTAATCTGAAATTAGAAAGAATAATTAAAACATATACACAATTCCAATTCCCTGAGCACTTCGATTTCCGTACGAATTTTAGCAGAGTCTGCTATATCGGGTACGCTATAGTCCGATATAAAGTACTTCTATATATCGAGGTTTGAAGTTGAAAACATTTCATATTAGTTACAGTAGTACTTGCATGTGTAACGATTATGTAACGATTACCATATTTATATGTTAGAGAAGCAATAAAAAACATCGCTAGATGGTGCATATGGCGGTATAAAGAGATATATAGCATGGCATATAACCGTTCCATAAAGAAATATTATATGAACAATATGTTTGATCCAAAATATATAATTAATAAAACAACAAAAATCATTTTAGTAGTTTTTTAGTTCTTAAATAGTATAATCATTTATAGGTTATTGTCAAACCGATATTACTTTACGGTACATTCAATTTGTGGGTATCGATCAAAGTAAAGTCTTCTAAAACCTGTCTTCTAATCACACGATGCCTGATGGCTGTGTCGTTTGTAGAAAGTCAGCTAAATCCAACCTCAACAGCATAATTTTGAAGACATCATCTTTAGAAAGATAATAAATTGCCCTGGTATGTCAAAAACTCTGTATTCATGAAGATTATTCTATTAAAACCATCACCAAGTATATAAAATCTATGAAACTCGGTACAATGGTTTATTACTTCGGTGTTGCAGTTGCACATATTAAAGATATACGGAAAATTATTGCAAAACACAACTTCCCTATTAAATTAATAAACAATAAAATTTTAATATTGTTGTCTTACTCAAGCAAGTTGATTATATAAATTTTAACCTTTTTTATTTGGTGTCCAAACCTCCAGTGATCAACTTACTGGAGCTTCGTCACCATCATGGCTCCATAACCATTTTCATAGTTACAAACCCATGCGCTTAGTATATTGTACATTGACAATATCCGGACACAGTGGTGTCTATATGTTCCAGTCAAATATTGTAGTTATGTGGTTTTAGAAACAATTGAAGCTCTTATAAATTTAATAGATCCACATACACAATACTTACAAATTCTGATTCACAGCTTCAACATCGCGATTTCTTGGTGAATAGGTAGGTAGTTCCTGAGGATTTATTACCATAGATTGCTCCTCTGATGCTACAATTGTAAAACAGAAAAAATTAAATAAAATTAACATCAAACAATTAAATTATTTAATTATTTTCAAAAATTTATTTCTATTTACTAACCAAGAACTGATGATATAATTCGTGCCGAAGACGTCTAAAAATATATGTAATTTATATTAATATCACACATAAATTTCATATTTTAAATTTCTTGTAATAATTGAGCTATAATTTAACTATATAGTATTATTTATCATAAATTTATGTCATAAACAGAGTTTTAGACTACCAAAAGTCTCATGTATTAAATTACATCTACCTTCTGCTCAAAAAGTATTCGGATTTTGTAAATAAAACACACAAATTTATATTTTTTTCCCAATTTTTTTTTATCTCCTTCAAAATATGCTCCTGAAGTTCCTTCAGTGAATTCTCTTTTACCGATTCAATTGACTCAAAACGCTTATTACGCAGGGTCAATTTGAGTTTCGGGAACAGGAAAAAGTCGCACGTATCCAGATCTGGCGAATATGGTGCCTGAGCGATGACAGTGATGCCGTGTTTGGTCAAAAAATCGCTTACAACAAGAATTTTCCATAGTAAAAATCGCCAAATGCACTTGAGACAGATGGCGCTCAAATTTGTACTATATGTCAAGAAAAGGTCTATTACTTAAGGAGTAGTTAACAAACAACCAAATCCGGAAACTTTTTGAGCAGAAGGTATTGCTTATAAAAGAAAATAACGACAAATGCAATTCCAGTATAAATCTTACAAAAGGTTATAAAGTTGTTAATAACATAGACTTACCGGCTTATCAGTGCTAGCTATGGTATCACCAACCTTAACTTTATCTGATGATCTGAAATGAAGAAAAACTTGATTAGAAAGTAATTATAAATTAATTACATTGACGATATATAATAAAAAATAGTTACAAAAAAAAAACAAAGTGTTCTAGTATAAATTTTATATATATATATATATATTTATACTATATTTATACTATAAAACCATCATTATTACAATGAATGATCGAATTCTAATTTTTTAGAATTGCTTTTAAAGCTTACAACTTTTGTAACTATTTGTGAACATAATATATATGAATAAAATAAATTAAAAATAACTACTATTTAACTATTTAATTAAAAAATCTTAAGTAGTACACAACTAAAAAATAAAAACTGAAATTTAGTGAAATAATAAATAATCACATTTATCGATACATATTATTTACTTATTAAAATGCACGTCAATCACTTTCTCTATATGTTGTTTTGGTGGCATTAAGGTAGATAATTTCTTTATACCTATATTGTTAAAATAAAATAAATTTAATTAAATTTTTAAAAGACAACTTTTATTTATTACTACAAATTTATTTCTATTTACTAACCTACTTTTGACTTCATCAAAGTAGCCGAAACCATCTGAAAGTATATTTAAAATTATTTTATATTGTTTTAAACTTTTTTTTTTTAATTAATATATATGACTATAAATTAATATAACAATATATAACATTATATAATAATATATATTGAATTATATGTGTAAATCAATAATTAATAATAATAAATAAAAATATATAAATATGTAACATATATAAATATTATATATAATACTTATATGAATATATGAATATATATATATATATATATATATATATATATATATATATATATATGAATATAAAAAAAATGTGTCCAGCTCCTTGCTTACGGCGATGACATTGACATCATTGGGCGTAGCAAGCGTGATGTTACAGCTGCTTTTGCTGCTATCGAAAAGGAATCTGCAAGAATGGGTTTAGCGTTGAATGAGGGAAAAACGAAGTATATGTCGGCTACTGGTAGAAATGTGCGTCGCTCGAACACCGGGCTAGTGGCTGGCGACTATACTTTCGAATCTGTCAAGGATTTCATCTACCTTGGCACCGCCGTAACGAATACAAATGATGTCAGTCTGGAGATCAGATGAAGAATCACCATTGCTAATAGATACTACTATGGGCTCAGTAGGCAATTGGGATGTAGAGCTCTCTCTCGACAAACGAAACTTACCCTCTATAGGTCGCTCATCCTTCCTGTGCTTCTGTATGACGCAGAAGCATGCACGTTATCACAGAATGATGAAGCAGCACTGGGAGTGTTCGAGAGAAAAGTTCTTCGTAAGATCTTTGGTCCTCTACGAGTTGACGACGACTACCGCATTAGAATGAACCACGAGCTGTACGAGCTTTATCACGACATTGATATAATTCAGCGCATTAACATCCAGCGGCTTCGCTGGCATGGTCATGTCGTGAGAATGGATGAAGACGCTCCGGCGAAAAAGGTGTTTGAAGCAGTAGTTGGCGGAAGAAGACGTAGAGGTAGAGCGTGTCTCCGGTGGAGTGATCAAGTTGAGGGAGCATTAACTGGACTTGATATACGAGACTGGAGAAGGCGCGCACGCCTGGGGAGACATGCTGCGTCAGGCCGAAACTCGGCAACGGGTTGTTATAGCCACATAAGTAATTAAGTAAGAATATAAAAAAAATTATAACCATGCCATAAATCTTTGTAATGAAAAAATTTTAAAAACGGTCAAAAATTCTAATAAAATTATAACTATTGTGATAAATAACCGATTAATGTTGCAAACCTTTAAAAGTAAAGTTTTTAGTAATATGGACTTACCGGCTTATCAATGCTAGCTATAGGATCACCAACCTTAACTTTATCAGAAGATCTGAAATGGAGAAAAACTTGGTTAGAAAGTAATAATATTTAAATTACATTGACGATATAATAAAAAATAGTTACAAAAATAAAAAAAAAACAAGGTGTTTTATATATAAAACCATCATTATTACAATGAATGAGTGAATTCCATTACTTACTGGTATGGATTGACACCAATAACACTGTGTGCATTCTGGTTCGATGGCATTAAGTTAGATGATTTCATCTGACCTATATTTTTAAAATAGTCATTTTTTTATTTATTACAAAATATTTATTTCTATGTACTAACCTGGGATTAATGGTACGAAAGTAGACGAATCCAACTGAAAAAGTATGTTATTTAATTCACATCACTTATCAATTTTATATTATTAATTTTTTTTTATTTGAAATTTTTTCTTTTAAATAATACCTAAGATTATGATTTAATATAATAATATATAAAATTAAAATCATATCATACGTCTTTATAATAGAAACATTTTAAAAAAGATCAAAACCTCTAATAGAAATAGAATGTAACTATTGTGCTAATAAAAAAAAACCAAGACGAATAATGGGATTCTACTGAAAGACCGTCAAAAGTTATAAATATCCAATTAATGTTGGAAGCCTTTAAAAGTAAAGTTTTTAGTTATATAAACTTACCAGCTTATCAGTGCTTACTAAAGCATTGTCATACTCGTCTTCACCAGATGAACTAAAGAAAGGAAAAAGGTTTAAGCTCTAATTTTTTTGGTTACCTTTGAAACGTAAAACTTTTATAACTATAAGTATGTTACTATATATGATAAAATAAAATAAAACTAAGACTATATATCATTACTTACTCATTTGGATTAACATCAATAACGCGTATATAACTCATTCCTGGTATTAGGTTAGATGAGTTCTTAAGATCTATGTTTTTATAACAAAATAAGTTAAATAAAATTTTCATGTGTAATTTTATATTTTATATTATATTTATATTTCTTCACTCACCTACGGTTGACGGTATCAAAGTACCAGAAACCGTCTGAAAATATATGTAATTAAATTAAAAACGCAGATAAATACTCATAGCTCATATTCATAGATTTTTATATAGTTTTAAATTAATTCTTTTAAATAATACTTAAGACTATATAATAATCTACAGAAGAAATTATAAACATGTTATAAATTTTTTTAATAAAAAAATTTTGAAAAAGTTCTAAAACTCTAATTGACAAGACTCTAAAAACTATGGCGGGAAATATCCCATAAATGCTGAAATCCTATAAAAATAAAGTTTTTAGTTTAATGAACTTACCCGCTTATAAGCGGTAGCTGGAACATCTATGTGTTCGTCTTCACCGGATGACCTAAAATAAAGGAAATCTTTTTTATTAAAAAATAATAATATTTAAATTATATTTTTTACTTCAACAACATAATTAAGAAATAGTTATAAAAAAAAAATAAAAATACCATCATTATTACAATGGTTGAACTGATTTAAGTGAATTTGGAACGTAAAATTTTTGATAAGTAAACATACAATGTATGAATAAAATAAAATAAAATCAAGACTATATTTAATCAGGTTAAGTTTAATATATAATTAATGTAAATCTTTAGTAATCTTCACATCTATCGATGTTTATTACTTACTCATTGTCATGCTCATCAATAACGCGTATATACTGCAGCGGTGCTATTGCGTTAGTTGATATCTTCAGACCTATGTTTTTAAAATTAAAAAGGTAAATACCATTTATTTTATTTATTTCAAAATGTTTATTTTTATTTACTAACCTGGTATTGATGGCACCAAAGTAGCCGAAACCATCTGAAAATGTATGTCATTAATCTTATATCTTTTTTCGTATTATTTAAATATAAATTATAAGCCTTTATAAGCCTTTAAAAATAAAGTTTTAGGAACGTGGACTTACTGGCTTATCAGTGCTGGCTGAAGGACCTTCAACCTCGCTCACATCTGCCAATCTAAAATAGAAGAAAATTTTTGCATTAAAACTAAATAATATTGATATTACTTCATAGACGTAATATGTATTAAATATGGTTAAAACTATCATTATTACAATGAGCCAATCAGTTAAAATAAATTCCAATGTCTTAGGACACTTTCAGAACGAAAAACTTTCATTATTATATATGTACGCAATATGTAAATAAAATGGAAAAATGAAGATAATAACTAATAAAATAATATAGAATATTAATTAAAAATAAAAATCAATAATGAAAAAACTAAAAAACTCTGTTTATAACGCGTAAGTGGAGACAGAATCCGTCAAGAGTGAGAGCTCGGTATCACGCGGGACAAACGATTCACATAGCTTAAACATGTTCAACTGAAAAGAATTAGCTGTGCTAAAATTCTTCATCACCTCCAACCGCTATTTAACTGATATATAACCAAATAATTCGTACGTCACTTCTATATGGTTCTGTAGCGTTTAGTAAAGCTTAAAATACTACTATTCGCCAGCTAGAAACTGCACAAAGCCAGGCTCTGAGAAGACTTTTTAAAGTACCATGGTACATTAGGACGTATGACATCCTCAGGGACTTCAAGATTGATCCCATCAAAAAATATATAAAGGATAGAGCCCTGAAATTATTTGCGAAAACTGACAGACTTATCAACACCGCGTTATCAAATATCAGAATCTCAGAATGGTTACAGGCTCCTCGGGGAGGTATGCAGATCTGAGGTGAATAATTGTTTAGTCTGATGAAGTGATAAACAATAATCCAGTCAAGGCGTAAAGCGGGGTTTTAAAAATACCTCGATTTAAGAAAGAGTAAAAGTGCTCAAGTGCACTGGCTCAAATAGCTTTAACATAATTATATTAAATAATTAAATAATTATATTAAATAAAATAAAATATTAAATAAAATAAGAAAAGAAAATAATTTCAAATAATATAAATGAATAGAAACAAAGATATTACTCACAATTGATTTTGATCTAGAAGGATATCATTAGTATCAAAAATATGAAATTCATCTTGTATTATCTTGAATTATCTTCGGTGATAAAACTATTAAGTCTTATCAAGCGGATGAAGTAATAAAAATGGAATTATTTTTGAAATTAATTTTTGCATACTTACCGTCATCAAAGACTGGCAAACATCGCTCTAAATCAAGCTTAAACCAAATATCAAATATTATTATTGTCATACTTTAATATATTTAAATGTTTTTAAAAGCAAATCCTAAAAAATGTTCCCCCAATAAATCTTAAAATTTTAAATTAAATTTTTGTACACTTGCTGAGTGTAACATTTTTAATGTCTAATTTAATTATTTTATAAATAATGTTAAAGATAGTTTTTTATTTAAATATTATATTACATTTGATTTTGATACATTAATTGTTAAAAGAAAGGAACATTTCTTAAGTAACTTTAGTATTTATTTGTGTGTACATGAATCAGTATTGTGCCATATTAACTCGCACACTTCGACTAAATAAGTGCATACGAGTATCAATTCCTTGAGATGTTTAATTTAGTTTAGTCAAATTTAGTCAATCTCGCACAAAAGCATAGACAACGTATATGTCAAGTGTCAACATATACATTGTTTGTGTTTTTGTCAAAAGCTCCACAACTCTTGGTCTAGCTAAGTTTGGCGATTTTTTGACGGAAAATGGAATTAGTGATAATGATTAAAATGAGGTAACTAAATCGAATAGTTGAATTTAATTTAATTTAGTTTAATTTATATAATGCTTTTACAGGGTGGATGACGAAAATTGCAACAAACTCCGTCACCGATCTAGCTGTGAAACCAATAATGACAGAGCGCAAAATTAAATCATTTAATAGTTCAGTGTTAAGTGATGGAGTTCTATCACTGGCTATCCTTGGAGCGCTCTCTATCCAACATCTAAATGTGAACAAACCATTTGTATCTCGTACTAAAGCTCGATACTATGTTACTTGTAGTGTTGCCCGACGTCCAGGAAGTCTAACAAAAAAAAACAGTAACAACACCAGAAATGATTTGTAAAGTGAAGAATCGAATTGAGCGAAACCCATGCTGTAGTAGCTGCAATCAAATGGCAAAGGAGCTGAACATATCGCGAGAAAGAATTCTATATATTTTAAAAAATGAGCTCGAACTTAAGCGATTAAAGTTGAACAAAGTGCATGTTCTCAGCAATGAAGAAAAAAAGTTATAGTCGAAAGAGTCAAAGTTTTGGTTCCTTTGGCCAAAGGTGGTAGGTTGCCAAATTTGGTTTTTTAGTAATAAATTACCATTCCTAATTGAGCAGTACGTAAACAAGCAAAATAATAGAATTTGCCAGAAAGCAGACCACCAGAAACAGGTGATAGTGTGAACCGCCGTAACGGTCTCTCTTCGCTCTATCGGGAAATTTATTTCCTTTGTTGCTATTTTCGCGAGCCACCCTGTATGTTCACTGCTGTTATTATTATTTGAATTAATTATTCTATCCAAACTACAGGGAATTTGTCATGTCAACTAATAGTTTTATTTTTATCGCTATATGTGCATTTGTATGTAGTATGGAAATATGATAGAGTACTAATTTAAAAAAGTATCAGACATAGGATCCCCATAGAAACAAGTTTTATTAAATATAACAATTTAATTGAACTTTTAAAGAATATAATATGATAAATGATATATCTTTAAAACATCGGATAATTGTTACGTTATGTGTCTTGTATTGTGTTGTTGCGTTATGTTCTGATGTTATGTTTACTATACAAAATAAAAAAGGAACATTTACCAGAATGGGCCATAATTCCTCGAAACAATTATTACAACTATTTAAACATTAAAATTAATTAATTAATTTAATTAATCAAATATTAGGTAATTATTATTTTTTTACTTACATGTTTGTATAATTTGTATTGTATTCACGAGTTGAAGAAACCTTTGCGCCACAGACTTTTTTGCAAGAATTATAAATAAAAATTATATTAAATATTAAATTAAATATTTATAATAGACTATAGAGACTATATTTGCTTACAGTGCACATATGATGAAGAGCTTGATGACAAGGGTTCGGTAGAAATTTGCTCCAATATCTTTATACAAAAATGTTAATATAAGCAATAATTAAATCATTAAAATCCACTGTCATAATTAAATTAATTTTTAATTAATACTCACAGGTGGTTCAAATTCCTCCTCATCTTTCTTAAAACACTTCAATGGTCTGTCACTAACACTGAAAAGAAGAGCAAAATAATATTTTAAATCTTTAAAATGCATAAAACCTGTAGACTAACAGAAAAAGCATTGAACATATGGTATATTACTCTTGGTGTAGTGAACGATCTTAAACGGTAACCAACGGATCTAATAATTTTATTCACTCAAAGGAACAACATACAGTGAGCAAAGTTTTCACTGTATACAATTTCTGAACTTTGTTTTAAATTGGAGAGTGGGGACTAATAGTATTGTACAGTTAAGAGCAGTATATATCCGTTTTTAAGCAGACCAGTTTAACAGAGTTTTCACTGTATAAACATTTTTAACTATTATACATATTAGATTTTTAGTAGTTTATGTCAATGGCAGTTTCGAAAATTAAAACAGCAGATAAAATCATAATTTAGACTTTTGAAACCCGATAAAAAAAGTAAATGTTGTCTCTTATTTAATTTCAGTTGTCATTTATTATTATTGTTTATAAAATTTCTATGATAAATCATCGTCTACACCGCAAATGAAAAAAGCACTTTAGTTCTGTACTAGCGCTATCACAAAAATTTGCAGAACTGTTATAGGAATGCTAATGAGCCATTATCAATTAGAAACGTAAGCATATAATATAAGAATCACGAATAAGTACAAATGCAAGAAACATAGAGAACTGTATGAGACTAAGAACATCCTACATTATCATGAACTCGTTTAAAATATTTGTTGGCTCTACACAAATTAGTAAGTTGTAAGAAGTTTCAGGAATGCAGTTTCTTAAATTAACAAAGAGAAGCAATATAACCACAATGTATAACCACAAATCCAAGTATAATATCTCAAACTTCCAGTTTTCTCAACCAAACTGGAGCTTTGTCAATGTCATGAACAATATAGATTAATATATTACAGCTCTAACGGATATTATAATACGTCTTTGTCAGTAAGTTTAGCTTACAGGTCAGTGAGTTTAGCATAAATTAACCTTGGACCTCAGAATGCAAGAAGCATTCTTTTGGAAAAGAGTATTGTATAGTCGTATAGTTGTAGAGTTATAAATTTGGACAGATAATTTGAACTGTTACTAATAACTATTCCAAAACAAAACTCATATATTGATTTAAAACGGTGAAAGCAAGTTCTAAGCAAGCAGGTGGAATACATTTTTATCTCACAGTGAGATTAATAACCACGGAAACTTTAAGAACCACGTATATTTTAAACAAAATCTTAAAAAGTCTACGTTACTTCTATGCAATATTTTAGCTACAAGCTCGGGTTTATTGATTTAATGATTTTTTTATAAGATAACAGTAAAAAATACACACATTAATCGATCACACTTCAATCTTTATTCCGCCCCATATTATTTAAATCATTAATGTATTTATATTTATGTAATAAATCGAATATTGACGACATTATTGAACTTACCTTATTTCCTCCAAAGAGTCAAGTTGATTAGCTGCTCTCTTCAGAGCTTGAATGGGTTGTGGATCAATTTGTGAACCAGGCACTTCAACTTTAATCTCCTTAAAAATTATTGAAATTATTAAAATATATATGTTATGTAAAATTTAATTGTATAAATTTTAAAAAAATATCAGGAGTATTCAGATTAAACTAGGTAACTTGAACATATAATTTGTAATTGTAAAAAAGTACTTAATAACCATTTACTTGGTTTAATCTGAATGCTCTTGTTTGTTTAGTCAAATTGTTCATACGGATTTCGTATATATGTATGTTAAATTCTTGATACACATATTTTATCAACTTCTAATTTTCCTTGTACAGTTTTCGATAATTTACTATAACAAAGCCATACACCCTCTCTTTTTTGCATATATAAACATTAATTTTTTCTTTGACTACATGAATCTTACGCGGAATATATTATTAAACCAGAATGGTATCTGACGATCAATCTCTGCAACCAACCAATCATACATAATTGAAGTCTTAAAAACTCTCAGGAAGTAACAAAATAACGACAAAAAGTTTTATGGTAATTGTGGAGAATGTATTTAATGTATTTGTGGGAGTATGGAAGAACGTTTCGGGCAGTTTTGACTCGTTCGGTTAAAATATGCGAAATCATTGCTTTTAATTTAGCAGGTTTAAAGTTTTAGGTACAACACTTGTAGTCAAACATATAGTAATATACATAATTATACAAACAGCTAATATTTTCAGAGGGCATTGATGGTAAATAGTTGACAACAATTAAAACAGCTCTATGGTGAACCAAAAAAAAATCAATTAATAAAAATAAAGTTCAAAAATCCTTTTAGTCAAAAATATTTTTTTTAAGACGGTCCCAGTAATTAAACAAAAATAAAATTTTGTTGTTGTAAGTCACTACTATTTAAAAATTCTTCTATTTAAAAATATTCTTCAACGGAAGGCCCTGTAGTTAATGTAATTTTAAAAATATCACAAGAATTCCCATAATAGATATTTCAATAGAACTTATATAAAATTTATTTTATTAAAAATCATGCATAATACTGTATTTAATAGATATATGTGAATAGTCGTCGTACCTCAAGAACATGATTCGATTCAGAAGTGCGCTCCATTCCAACTTCAATACTAGAAAATATACAAATAAACACATTTTAAATAAATAATATAAATAATAAAATGAATAATAATATAATTACTAATATAATTAATTACTTAGGTAAAAACTAAATAATTTATAATACATACTTCTCAGTTAAGTTTTCTTTTGCACCTTCACTGGACATACTTGAATTATATTTGTTTTCCGATAAAATTTTACCAGCTTTATTTGGTTAAAATCAAATTATTTGAAAATATAAAAATTGACATAACGAAATAAATTTCAAAAAAATATTTACATAAACGTATGTTCCTTTGTTTTTTAAAATCGTTAACTTCAGCAACGTAAGATTCAACCTAATAGAAACAATTATATTAAAATATTTAAGCGTATTAATGACTTTTAATGAAAATATCAAAAAATATATAATAAAAACTTATTATACATGTAATCATTGCAACCGGTAATTAAAAGCATTATTTTTATTATTAAAAACCAATAAAAGTTTATATAAATGTACACACACATACTTATATTATAATTTTAATTGTTCCGTACCACATATGGTATAGGACGAGATCAGTTGTATACGATGGCCGTGAGTGCTTATGCTAATGATTCAAGTTTTTTTTTGTGTTACAATGTATTAAGCAATACAAATGAGTTTACATCTAATAAACAATCACAGATAAACATAATTTTTTATATATAAATATATTGAATATCTATAACTTTGCTTGTTTAGAAACTAAGATAATACATTTTTGGTTGAAGATACATGTATATATATCTTATTTAACACCAGTGCAAACGAGCACCAAAAATGCGTGTTATTCTAAATCTGCAACGTATGAAATTGTGCAATACATTGCACAGTGCTCACGCACCAACGGTGCTGGCACATCCCACTTTAAGCGCTCGGTTGCATCAGGACTTTTCAGCAAGTTAATAATCGCTTATGCAGGCACACAAATTTATAAACTAGAAATATAATAACATTCCATATATTTTCAATTCATACAAACTGTTGGGCATGTTAAAAAATTTTATTAATATGATATGATAAGTGATAAATTTAAATATTGTAAATAAGCCACTAAAAGCTCCCCATCTCCACTTCTGAAACATGCTTTGAGTATTATGACATATACGAATATTTATTCGTACTCGTATTTTATGAAAATACCTTTCGTTTGCGAGTGTTAACTGTAATTGGTACAAAATTATAAAAATCATTATAAAGTACAAAAAATGATAGTTATTATATATGAATCATTTCATTACCCATAATGATTTCTTCGAATTCTTTCATATCTTCTAATGTCATATCTCCAAATCCATCATCATCTAACTCAGCTTCAACAAGGCTTAAAGCATCTTTTAGGGGCTCTTCGCGTAATTGTATTTTGTTAATATGCTTAACTGTGTGCTTATTATGTGTCTTTAATTTTTTTTTTATTGCAGTATAGAAAACAAATTTATATATGAGCAATACATATAATGTATATAAAATTATTAAATTACTTTGATTAGATAGTCCATTGCTTCGTCACCTAAATGAGCTAATTTTTCAGCTTCTTCAAGTAGGTCTACATAAGTAGAACTGTTTAAAGAACTATCTGTTTCAGTTTTCTTCTCCATAAGAACCTTTTTAGCTTTTTTAATCGTTTTCTTTTTGGACCTTTTATAAAAATCATTTAGATGAAACATTTTTTTTAGAATTATAAATAAAATGACTAAGTTACATGATTTTGATTTAAACTAATTAAGTTAATTAAGTAATTAATTAAACGGACACGCATGGAAGTAGCAATTTTGTATAATTAAAAGAACTGTCGATAATTAATAATTTAATAATAATATTAATAATTTAATAATAATGTTAATAATTTAATAATAATAACGTTAATAATTTAATAATAATAATGTTAATAATTTAATAATAATAATGTTAACAATTTAATAATAGTAATGTTAATAATTTAATAATAATATTATTAATTTAATAATAATAATGTTAACAATTTAATAATAATGTTAATCATTTAATAATAATATTGTTAATTATTTAATAATAATGTTAATCATTTAATAATAATAACGTTAATAATTTAATAATAATAATGTTAATAATTTAATAATAATAATGTTAATCATTTAATAATAATAATGTTAACAATTTAATAATAATAATGTTTATAATTTAATAATTATAATGTTAACAATTTAATAATATTAATAATTTAGTAATAATGTTAATAATTTAATAATAATAATGTTAATAAATTAATAATATTAATAATTTAATAATAATATTGTTAATAATTTAATAATATTGTTAATCATTTAATAATAATAATAATGTTAATAATTCAATAATAATGATAATAATGTTAATAATAATAATAATAATAACGTTAATAATTTAATGATAATAGTGTTAATAACATAATAATAATAATGTTAATAATAATAATGCGTGTTAATGCCACACCTCTTTGACGCTTGTTTTTTACCAATATTAATTATTAAACCAGTTTCAGTTAACAAATCATTAGTCGATTCTGTAATGAAATAGGAAATTTGCATTTAATTTGGTGTTGAAATATTTTAATAACTTACTAAGCAAATTCTTAACCTGCACGCGGTAAATACGCAAAGTTCCCCAATATAATTTGTAGGCCATACAAAATGGCAACTGCGGCTTTGCGACTTTAGCGACCTTTGAAAATTCTTCAATATTGCGTTTAGACGGAGCGAATCCTTCTTCACTGTAAGCGAGCTGGTTTTGTTCAGAACTTTGAATTATTAACTCATTTATGTAAGCACTATATTAAATTTAATTTTAATTAAAAAAAGCAAGGCTAATTATTTGAATATTACCATATTTTTGGCACATTTATTATATCAATTTCCGCTTTCGCATAAACTGAGTGCCAATTTTTGCTATATACACTTATTATCCAACATTTTTCCAATATGCCATCCTTGTACTTTGATATATTTGCACCGTTTAACTTCATTTTTATAACTTTAAGCTTAAAATTGATTAATTCAATTTTAAGTTCAACTAACTTTGACGAAAACTTCAAAAATAGCGGGACAAACCACAAAAATCGGCGATATTTACACTCAATGACGTAAAATTCTATCTTAAATGATCTTTTTAACTTTATGCAATAATTAACCAAGTTATTAATGAAACATATCACATTTATATTTTATTAACAACACTTTGGTACATTGCACTTTAAACAAACTTCTTATTTGACTTGCACATTTAAAATCTTCTTTCTAACGACGATGAAAAGAAAACGCAAACCAGCATTGCCAACATAGAATCAAGCAAATCAGACATAAATAAATCTTACATCCAATCATTCATTATTTTCAGTGCTTAATTTATTAAAAATACTTACAGTAATAAAATTAATATTTATTCATTATTTTCAGTGCTTAATTTATTAAAAATACTTACATTAATTAAATTAATATTCATTATTTAATATTATTAAATGTTATATATAATATTATATTCATTATTATAATATTAATATTCATTATTAATTATTTTCAGTACTTAATTTATTAAAAATACTTACAATAATATATTTACAATAATTAATATATAATAAATAGTAAGTATAAGCAAATTAATATTAAATAAAAGCAAATAAAATAAATGAAAAATAGAATAAGAAACAAATCCAAAATTACTTATTATATCTGAATATATAAACAGCGAGGTAAAATTTTATTAAAATGTTATTAGTATAAAATAACAAACACTACGTTACCGGTTGTCCCAAAATTTTTGAATGTACCATACTTTAATAAAGTAGTTCCACGAGCTACTCGTAGTAAAACTCAAGTAAAACACAAGTAAAATTTACTCGAAAATTTGCTGGTGGAACTTATCTATACACAGTGTTACTTAAAGTTACTACAAGTAGCTCGTGGAAGAGACCTTATATTAAAATTACGAGTAATTTTCATAAAATCAATAATATTGCCATTGACACTATTTTGAACAGATACAATTTAGATTTAAATAGACGAAAATTTCTTAAATTTATATATTATTAAGTTTTATAAGAAAATATGGTGGTAGTCATATTAAAAAGAAAATTTCAATATCACAAATTTTTTCATTTCTCTTTGTTTCGTTGCTCGCCGAACTTTTACAGTATAAATGTAAACACTTAACTTTTTAAATAGAAAATAACTAATTTAATTAACCTTAAGTATAAACATGATATTGAATCTAATTGGAAAATATTCAATACTCATCCATGATTATTATAATTCTAATTGGAATGCACTGATGATGAATATTTGGCGACATCCCAAATTGCTGATAAGTAAAACAAAGAAGTTACTTGATTAAAAATATTTTTTAGATTTGAGAATAAATTTTCTTCATAACATTGTTTCACATGAAAATTGTACAAAATTTTTGGTATATATAGTACAAAATTTAAGTGTTTATCTGTAAATATACTTTTACTGTCTTGAAATGTCGTTAAAACTCGACATTTTTAGCATTTTCAGTTTTGAATGAAAGAGAAGGAAGAATGTTTAATTAAAATATTTATGGAAAAAGAAATAGTTAAATTGTTGGACGATAAAAAATATAGAAAGGACACAATTTGTGAAATAGTTCGCCAAGAAATGTAAGTTATTCTTTTTTAAAAGTAAAACAATTTGTAGTTTTTATATATGTAGTCTTTATAAAAATTGATATTTTATAATGTTTAAAATCAACATTTTTGTTTACCGCTTAACAGCTGACTGATTGACAACCATCTTAAAAGTGCTTTTAATTCTGGTGCGTAAACGCTCTAACAACAAATTTTAAAATCAGTTTTAAAAGTGTTGTTAAGACTCGCATAAACATAGTGATAAAAAACATTCTACGTTTTTATATTAATATATGTATTAGTGTGTTCAAACTGAAACATGATTTGCATTGCATCTATCATAAATTACATCATAATATATGTGTAATTTGCAACTATAAATGACATTTCGTTTTAGTTTGAATTCACTATTAGTGTACTTTTCCTGTATAATTAATTTACATAAAATAACATAGAATTTCAAAACAAAGAAAAAAGCAAACTTGTCAACCCTGTTTATTTGCAACAAACCAGCCACACAATTCGCTCTGCACTGTTTCTGTTCAGTGTTAAATTGTAAGCGGAGGAGTTTTGTTTTCGTTTGCTTCGCGTGTTGTTGTTATTATAAAAAATACATATTTTAAATATTATTTAGGAAATAATTAAAAAATGGTAAAAATTATAAACAAAATTGCACACGATTATATTGAATGATAGAAATATTTCGCATACGTGTAGGAATTTGAACTGATTAAATTAAATCGAATAGAAAATTGATTGCAATGACTAATTGCGGATAACAATAAATTAATTGATAAAGTAACAAATGTTTTTGCAAAAGATATCGAAAATGAATGAAAGGTTTCCATATAATGAAAGCTATAATGTATATGAATTTTATCTTAACAGGGCGACAGTAATATATGTGATATTAGCGATGAAGTGCGTGATGAATTGAAAAAGTTTCGTTTCCGTAAAAGTACAACGAATTCCGCGCTTATATGTAAGTACCACACAACAAAAAAAAAAAATAAATAAATAAAAAAATCAATGTTAAGAGTCAAGTCAGGCAAGTAAATGACCTCATCAAATTGACCTGATGAATCTGACTAGATTATTTTCTCTTAAAAAATGTTTACAAATTCAAATCAAAACTGACTAATAAAGGCGTGTGCTATGCGTGTCCAAGACTGTGATAACTAAAGCCGTCGAAGCAGTAGACATGGAAAAAGACCTCTTCACTCGAAAAAAATATTATGCATAAGGAAATGTTGAAGCACTACACTGCTAAAAATAAATGAAGGTTTCGAAAGGAAACATATTTATTCTTAACCGAATTTTTTAATAAGAATATTTGTTATAAATAAGGAAAAACAAAATCAGAATGAATTAGTGCCCGGTCAAGCCTTCCATTAGTCAATTAAATGAATCATCTCAACGAAAAAAATATTTTCGTTAACAATATTATCGTTATTATAAAGAAAAATCACAAAAGAAATCAGAAACGTTTCAGAAAGCTTATCAGAAAGCTTATTTAATATTAAAAGACTCAAGCGTACAGATTAAGTACTAAAAATATCAGACCCCAAGACGTAAATCATACTAAAACCAATCTGTTTTATAGTAATATAACAAAATATACTAATTATAATTTGTAATAAAATTATAATTATAATATTAAAATAAAAAACATATTACATTATATTATACATATAAATTATATTTTTATACATATAGAAAAAAAAATAGGGTTTAACCTTTTTAGAGTAAAAAATGTTAAACGCAAAAAATTTACATAATTATTATCATAGGTATAGACTCTCTAGTACCAGAAAATTGGTTAGTCTTAGATTCCAAATGTTGTTTTATAACTTACACTTAGAGTATAGTTATGCATAATATACGCTAATACTAAACATTATATTAATTATTATTATTGAAAAGAAGGCATAGTGCACTGCGACTTAAAAGATCTAGTCGGATTAGAGTGTTTTTCCAAGTCCGATTTCTTTAATGAAAGGCAATATAGAGCCTTTCTTTCCTAGGTGTTTTTTCCGCTTGTGCATCAGTGCCGGGCACAGCTTTTCTCATTTCTCTACATTATTTGCAGTATCAGTTGGATTGAATTCCTAACTTCAATAGGTGATAATTTAATTTGCAATGGCCGGTCAATAATCCCGCAATAAATCTTAGGTTATTTTTTAATTGTGCTATGCAATCTTTGAAGCATTTTAGGTTGTAAGTCCCTAAAAGCATTTTAGATTATGAGAGTCTTGGTAGCCTGCCCCAATAGAGTTCTTTTTCTTTTTTCTCTGCGCCATTCATAAGAATGGATAGAGTTCCTTTGCCTAGACCAGAGAATAGTTCTGATCCTATCATTCTTGAAGCCGCGCCTTTTCTTGCAAGTTTGTCTGCTAAGTTGTAAGTTTGTATTAAGTACACCTCCCAAGTATTTTTAATTTGTCAATGCACTCCCATACCAGTTTGGATGTTATCTGATAGGATATAAGTCATATTATAGCTGTCTGGTTGTTAGTCAGTCATTATATTAATAATAATACAGTAGAGGCTCACAAATTAGAACTACTTGGTTTTTCGGGTAGTTCGAATTTTCGAAGAATTCTATGTATTTCTATGTGTATTCTATGCGTATTTAACAGTATAAAATATTCAGTAATGTTTGTTTGTTTTTTAAGTTTAGGAGAAATTCGGTCCACAAGATCTTTGTGCATGATAACTACAGAAAGGTATATTCCATTCTCTATAAACCTTACGGCTTTCGTAAGTTGAATTTCATTCTTTCCATTTATAATTGCTCTACTCACGCTATCATCGTTCTAAAAAACTAAAACAGGTGTGTTCGTATTTGTAATTCTTCTCATATATAGATCTACTATATAGATGGTTACCAAAAATGGCCGGGTCTACGTCCTGGACCCACTCGTCAATCACGACGACCAAGTGCCGTTTTCCACCCACAAGCCAAGTGCCGTATTGTACGCACAAGCAAGTTCCAGCTTGTTACTACAACAACAACTATACAGGTCTCTGCAGACTACAAACACAACAAACAATTGAATTCTCTAATATTCTATTTTTGTTAATTCTTATATATCAATCACCAATTATCGAGCTTAAGATAAAGCTGTATTTTTAGTCTTTAAATGCTCCATTGTCTTTCCATTGTCTGTCCATTAGCCATTATGGCTATAAAAAAACTGTTTGCAAAAAAGTGTTTGCATTCCAATGTTAATCGTTTATGACCGATTAGATTCTTGTATATATTATCTTAATGCTCGAACTATTCAAATAAACTAATGTAATACGAGCGAACCACAGTAATGTAATGAGGTTAATCATGTATTTAAAAAAATAAATAAATAAAATAAAAAATAAAACCTGCTTAATTTATGTGCATAATATTTAAATTAACATCATTAACCTGATTTTGTTTAATTTCCTCTAATTCTCGTTTTCTTGTGTTTTTTGTTTCAGTGAAAGTTGATCGAGAAAAGCAACTTGTTATTTTAGATGAAATTTTAGATGATATATCAGTTGATGAATTACAAGAATCACTGCCAGGACATCAACCAAGATACGTGATATACACATATAAAATGATACATGACGATCAAAGAATATCCTATCCAATGTGTTTTATATTTTATACCCCGCGTGATAGTCAGGTTAATTACATATTTATATTTATGGATTGAAATATGTATGTACGTACAGTGAAAGCTCACTTAAACGAATGTTCGGAAAGCGAATATCGCTTTAACCACGCAATGTGTCCAGTAGACACAGTAGTTTGACTTGTTGATATTAGTTTAAGAGACTTTCCCTGTATATTTACATATTTATATAGCTTATATCAAAAATATATCATATATATATAAATATACTATATATATATATATATTATAGATTGAATTGCAAATGATGTATGCTTGCACAAAGAGTGCCCTGCAACGAGAAGTTGACTTGACACGCGTCTATGAGGTACGTGAACTAGATGAATTGACCGAAGAATGGCTGAAGGAAAAGCTTCGATAAATTACAAAAAATAATTCATTTATAAAGAATAATAATAGGACATGCGAAACAATGTTAACAAAACTTTAAATACATATATATGTGTATACCGTAGTTTAATTTTTTTTTTTTTTTTTTTTTTGATTTGATTTGTTTTTTGATAATGCTACTCATTTAATTGTAAATTTTTTAACTTTAATTGCAATATTTTTTACTTTATTGAAAGTATACAAAAGCGTACAATAGATTTAATATTTTATTAAAAAAATGTTTATACAAAGTAATTAAGATTTTTGGTTCAAACTTTGCTTTATAATATAATTTATAATATACATCTAATAATTTTTTGACAAATAACTTATCTCCAATTTTACTAAAGGAAACTTATCTTCTCACTTGCTATTAAAATTAAGATGTAGTATACGTTCAATCTTTTCAAATAACAATATAAGATAATTTAAATAATTATAATTAATTTTAATACTAAGTGACATATTCTAATATTCTTTAATACGTATACAGATGATGTATGCATATATAATTTTTTTAATACATAATAATTTATGTACAAAGTTTAAACATGATTTATCTCATAAGAAGATAACACAGTCACATCATTATAAAACAAAGCTGCGAACGTGCTTTGAACCGACCGATTTGCTCACACCCACAAATCAAACCATTATGGTTTTGCTAATTTAGTCTGGAACCTCAAAAATTGATTGAGTTCACAGACTATTTGTATTTAACGTAAAATTTAGATCATTTATATTAGAGAGCACAAGATGATCATGTACATAATTATATCAGAAAGATACATTTTTTCAAAAACCTGTCATATAAAAAATTATTGGATGTGTATTTGCTATAATAGAGCCAATAGTGTTAAATATATCTATAACCGCATTTTTAATTATCAAAATAAATATTTGATTGTAAATTATGTTAAAGCAAACAAAAAATATAGAGATAAATTAAACTACTAAATACTAGGTTCAATATTTTAGGATACCTACAAATAGACAGAATTTTTTCTACTATTTAAAAATACTGTAAAGTTAAAAAGTGTTAACTATATTGTTTTGTGATATTCATTTAAGCAAGTTTTGTTGTTTTTTTTGTTACATTATAAAAAACTTTATTTTTTATAATGTTCACTTAACAGAATTTAAATTATATTTTATATATATAAATTTAAATTGCCTTTATATTCAATTTTTATACAATTTAGTTTACTTTTTAACCATACTCTCTTTATTTTTATTTTTGTAATACAGTAATTCCCCGTATAACACGGGCATTCCCCCATATAGGGTGGGGATTTGTTCAAAATTAGCTTCCTTACTTTTGCACGTGTATATACGGGGTATACGGGAATACTCCTATATAGCGGAACCAATCTACCGCGTTATTGGAGGGATTACTGTATATTCAAAAAATTCAAACTAAGAACGATAAATAATTTTTATACAAACTTATAATTTTTTGTTGTAACTCATGTTCATAGTTCATAGTTCAGGAACATAGACTGGACCTCTGCTAAAACCAGCATATTTTATATTTCGTACTTGTTTTTTTTTTTTAATATGTTTTAAGAAGAAAATAATTTAAATTTACATGTTGATCATTTAAATTTATCACTTAAACTTATCCCTTAAATTTATTTACAAAAAATAGTTTAATTTATCTCTATTTACAAGTAAAAGCTTTCTTAAACGTATACTTTCAATCTGTCCTATTCGACTGATTTTGTCAGTATCGGGTTTAAGTGATCTTCCACTAAAATTTTCTTAAATAAATGAACCAAAAGTTAATATTTTAACTAGTTTATATAGTATATCTTTACTTTTTATATATGTAGCTAATATTCACAATTTTCAAATTTAAATTATATGTAGATCATATTTTTTAACTATAATTTTTGCATTCAATTTAAAAAATAACTCAGCATAAAATGACAACAAAAAATAATATATATACACATATATAAATATATTATATTACAATAAGCAAGTTTTATAAAATTATACAACTTATATATATACGTATATTATATAGGATACTTTAAATGGTAAAATGACAAACTTACACATACCAACGATTATATAAACCAAATAATATGAATATTTTTAAACATAATTAAAAAAAAAATTATTAAATAAGCATTTATACTTAAGTGATTATTTGAGAAGTTTGATGTCCTCCGAAATTTTGCATGTAAATCATGACAAAAACGCGCGTTGATATGCGTATATTTGCTTATAAGTATATATATATAAATATATATACAGTCAAACTTCCATAAATCGAAGTACCATTCGACTGTGCAAAGCAACAGTTTGACTTATGGAGACTTTAAAGAATTAAAGAATTTTTCATAATTGTATGTAATTTGCTCTCTGAACCCTGTTGCACTCTATTTAGTTTGAATTATAGAAAATTCGAATTATGGAAGTTTGACTGTATATATTTCTATATATATATTTATAAAATTTTAATAATTTTCGCTTATATAAATATTATATTCACAATAATAAAAAGCATAAAAAATATTAATCGTAAATATTAAAGCCTAGTACTGACTGAACTATCAAAATTTTGCAGAAAACTTTTTTAATGGATGTTAGTACTAGGCTTACGACAACAAAAAAAAAACTTTTAAGATAAGTTTGCAGCATATAAAAAGATTACACCATTTGGTATTGTAAAATGGCGGCATTTCCATTTTATATTAAATAATTCCAATTTGTCATAAGATTTTTTTTTATAATATATTTAATATATAATTTAAGTATTTTATTTAAAATGAGATTTTATATTAAAAAAAGAAAATATCAAAGATGCTGTACTTGCCAAATTTTAATATGTATTTTTAATATATACGTACGTACCAATTAAATAAATAAATATATATAAAAATTTTACATACCTTAAGCGACTTCTTATTATTGATGCCTTGTAAATTTATTATTATAAACAAAGTTAATGTTAATGTATTCACAACACAATACAAATATTTGTAAAAACTGTTAAAATAATTTCTCCGTTTGAAAAATGGTATCCGTATAATCGTTATCTAGAACCGAATTCCTGTAACTCTTATGACAGCAGAATATTTCTTATTCAAATATTTTACAAGAATTGACATTAGCTTATCGAAAATATCAAAAAAGCTAAGCCAACTAAGAAAATTACTTTGTTGACAATTAAGACAGATGAATGACGTTTGGTAAGTATAAAAAAAATGTATAATGTATAATGTATGACATTTAAGCCCCCCAGCCATTATAGAGTAAAAGTATATAATAGCACTAACTCAAGAAGAATCAAGATGAAGATGATGAAGAAAAAAATGACATAGAATATTTTCTTAAAAAAAAAAAAATAATTAATTTTGGCATCAGAAGCACCTTTGAGTCTAGTTTTATAGATATCAGCTTAGTTGATTAGACATGTAAATTGTGGAACCTCAAAAAAGTAGTGAACCTTGCTCACTGGTTAATTAAACTGATTAATTAATCACTGGTTTATTAAACGAATTTGAATTAGACCTAATGCTAATGGCAATCTTTTAACACGTTAACTAACCACGATGATTTTCAACTTTTATCACCTCTACGATCACACTTTTATAACAGTTCTCAGACCTCTTTGTCAATAGTTTTGATACTATAAAAATGACTGCTAGGATATCAAAAAAAGTTCTTAGTAAACTAAGAACAAGGTGTAATCACTTGCATTTATTTATCATATATAAATTAGAACATTCATATTGTAGACCTAATCTGCAACATCACACCTTTTGACGTGTAGACAATTTTCCAACAGGAATTGTTTACAATCGTAAACATTTTACAATTGTATATATTAGTATAGTAATTAGACAAGCACTACTGTACGGATATGATACATATAGCAAAGCCTCAAATACTACCTTAAAGCAATTACAGATAGCTCAAAACCTGGCTTTAAGAAGACTGTTTAAGATTCCATGGTATATTATATCAACAGACATACATAGAAATCTTAGGATTAACTCAGTGAAAAAATATATCAGAGACAGAGCTCTAAAATTATTCACTAAAGTTGATACGCTACTTAACCCCGCCCTAACAATTCTCAAGTCCACTTCTGGATTCTCAGGAAGATATGCTGATTTAAGGTCCGTCATCAACTAAAAGACAAATAAATGATATGATATCTTAGTCTAGTTAAAGCCTAGTTTGGGGTAGTGATAATCCCCCCAGCCATTATAGAGTAAAAATGCATAATAGCACTAACTCAAGAACAAGAAGAAGAAGAATTGTAATAATATAATTCTTTATTAAAACTTTTTTTTATTAATTAGTAAACCGTCAAACAAAACATTTATTTATTCTTTTTAAATCTCACGCCTAGCAAATATGGCATACATTATTATATGGCAAAATTAAGTGTAAACATTACTTTATTCACTTAAGAAACAACAGCACTAAGTGAACCGCCGGTATAATGTAACCTAACCTAAAAAACAGTGAAAATTGGAATCTATTATTGGTACCAATAATATTAATTATAATTATTTCTTAAAATTGTCACTAGACATATAGTCATCATATGAACTGTATAGTTAAAACTTAGTGTGGGGCAGGGATAAGCCCCCCAGCCACAAAAGAGTAAAAGTCCGCAATAGCACTAATTCAAATCACAACAACAACATTATTTTAAAACGTAACAGTTATTTACATGCTTAGTAAGTCGAAAATTATAAAAGTTGAACCTAATTGAAAGCAAATAAGACGGGTACCCGAGTACATCTTAGCTAAATCATTAACCAAAATTTTTTTATTGAAAATATGAATGATTAATGCTCCTCCTCTTAATAATGCTTCTAAATAATAAATATGTTTAGTATTATGTTGTATACCGATAAGAAGGCCGGATTATTCAATCCTATTGCAAACTTTGCATTAATTTCAGAGTCACAGATACTTAAATAATATAATTTAATTATTATATCGGTAACCTGCTTGGTATAGCAATATCTTGTAGCCCGGAGAGACGATAAATCGGGCACATAATAGCTTCTTTATCTACAACTTTTTTATACATTACATATATGTAAGTTTTTTTAAATTATGTTATATTTGTGTACTTTCTAGAAAGATTGCAATTATAATGTTATTTATTATAGATTTATATAGTCCTTAACATCAACGAAATCCATTTGTAAAATTATATTTTTTCTTTGTTTTTTCTAGAAAAATACCAATAAATTAAAGCCTAACTAAATATACACAAGCGTAGTCTAGAACTTTTAGCTCAAAAAATATTATGATCTGTGTTAATTGTACAAATAGACTATATATACATATATATATAAGTTAGTCTTTATTTTTTAATTTTATAAATAATTTCAGACTTTAATAAGGATGCAACCTTTGTGCAGCATGCATCATACTAAGTGTACTTTGTCCTGATGGCGTTGGCGGCGGTGGTGGTGGTGGTACATGCGTTGCATGTGGCGGTGGTGGGGGTAACATGTGGGTCATTGTGGCATGTGCCATGGCCATTCCAGTTGTTGGATTTGTTTGTATTGTAGGCGTATTTAAAGTTAAATGATGTGCATGCGTATGTAAGGTTTCGTGTGGATGCGGTGGTGGTGGTGGCGGGACAGCTGCAGTATGATGATGATAATGATGCGGATGTGTATGTGGATGCGTGTGTGTATGCGCATGCGTATGCATTTGACCAACCAAAGGCAAATTGAGTAAATTATTGGTACCGTGCGTACGAAAATGCACACTTAAACTACCAGCCGATGCAAATTCCTTATCACAATCAGGGCATTTGAAACTATCGTTGACTACACCGCTCACGGCATCGACAGGTTCGTCATCATCTTCACTACGATCATGTAAGGCATGCATTTTACGCTTATGTGCTTGCATGTCACGTTGTCGACCAAAGGCTTTGCCACACACATCGCAATGATGATTTTTAAGACCAGTATGTATAACCATATGTTTAGATAAATCGCCATTCGTGTAAAAAGATTTCTGGCACACAGGGCACAATTGATCACGTACACCAGTATGAATTTTTTGATGTGCTTGAAAATTACCAAGCGCAGAAAATTGTTTTGAACAGATTTCACACTAAAAAGAAATGAAAAAACTTTAAAAATAAAAATTTAAATGTTTGACAAATTATAATCTTATACCTGAAAGGGTTTCTCGCCTGTGTGGGTACGTTCGTGAATTTGTAAATTGTATTTCTGCGCAAATCTACGTGGACAATAGTTACACTGATAGGGTTTTTCACCAGTATGTGTGCGAATATGCATCTGCAATTGTGCAGCACATTTAAAAGTCTTATTACAATCATAGCAGGTTTGTGGTAATTTTGGTAGTGGCTTAGGACCACGCTTTTTATGTTCCTCTGGCGGTTTGCGTTCATAACGTGAACGACGTTTACTAAATTTATTAAACAATATACGTTTTTATTATATATATTTTTTATGTATTTAACAAAAAAATCTTATGAAGCTATTATAAAATATTCTTACGCTTTTTTGGTTATATTAATATTCTGCTCCTCATCGTCAGAGTTATCAATATCTTGCGTCAAATACTGATGGCACTTATTATTCAATCCCACTGTGGATTCTGTGTTAGTTTCTGCATCACAAATACTGAAAAAAATACAATTCCGTTATAACATCGCTGCCAGCCTTTTTAACATTTCAATCTCTAACTAACCCATATCCTCTATCTGGTAGACCCAAGTATTGCCGTAGCCTGATGTCGGAATTTTCACACTCCTGCTTAAAGTGATATGCAACACCAAGTCTATATATACAGTTATTGCATATAACAGCTGGAAGTCCATCTGTTTTATATACCTATATATACACATACAGTTTATAATTTATTCTTTATTAAAATTATTTGAATTTGCCTACCCTAATTTTGGCACACATCATCATCATTGTAGACGGAGTCATTGCGAATTCAGTACTATAAATGGATGTCAAAGCACCTTCCTCTAAGCACACACGACATATTTTATGTATATTGTAATCCATGTTAAAATTTTTAAAAAACTCAAGTTATTATGCTATAAATAAAAACACACTAATAGTACACTAAAATTTGTTTACAAAATATTATAGAATCATCTGATTTTTGACAGCAGAGCGTAAAAAAATATGTTGTTATGGATTTGACAATTTGTCTTACCACAAATACTGGATGTGACAGTTTTTTTGAATTATTTTTTTTCTTATATTATCGCGTATTCACGCGAAAAAAGGAAAATATTTCTTTGCTAATTAAAACACAATGAAAGGTTCTTTAAAAATTACCTTCTTAAAAACGTAAAACAATACGATAATTATTAGTCAAATTTTTAATTAAACAAACTATGCATCAAATTTTGATATCCTATTCATCAATTATTAAAATTTATCCAGCCTACTTATAGGCAGACGGTTTTATTCATGGAACCAAAAAATAATATGATTACATATAATATTCTTGTGATATAATAATTTTTTCTTAAATAAAGATATTACATATCGTATAAATAAATACAGATTTATAAATTTATCATAAAGCCATATTGCATATTATTAGATGTTAATATGTCACAGTTGTGAATTTATGATTTTGTTTTTGAATTGTATGTAAATAACTCTTCGTATAAACTGGCTAGAATTTGTCAAAATTTTTACCTACATTCTCTTTTTTTCACTAATAAGTACATATGTTTGTAACAAGACAAAATTGTAAAATAATATTTATTTGCATTTAAATATAAAAATCCTGCCAAAGTATAGCCAGTATAGACGCCCAATAAAACTATTTACTTCATTTACTCTGCGCCTACACTGTCTTGACTATTGGCAAATTTTTGTACACACTCACACCTTTTTACTAACGCAACTAACAGTAAGCCACATTTTCATTGCGCGTTAAATTTAACAGTGGAGAATTGTGGATTTGAAGTTTATACTTAAATTTTATAAATTAAATAAATTTATAATTTTTTAAAAAGCGTTCTTTATACCTTTACGATTTTTATATATTAATATATACAAATACAGTTTGTAAAAAAATTTTTAAAAGTAATAAAATGTATTTTTCAAATTTATTTGCTAACAAAATACCAGTTTTTTATTGTTTTCATTATGTTTCTGTGTATTGCGATTACTAATATATTTATTATTGACTTATATATTTGTTTTATATTTATAAAATTTAGAAATAAAATAACGAAAATAAAAAGGGTATATATATAAATTTATAAATACTAAATATGTAAATTTAAAATAACTAATAGATTGTTAAATGTCTTTTAGAACCTATTATGCCTTATTATATTAGTTAAATTTATGGGCTTAAGTACATTATGATCTGCGTGGAAACATTTGTAAACCAAAAGCTTTTTCCTTGTTTCAATTATACCAATTTAAAAGTTGCTTGAAAATGAACTATAAATACAAAATAAATAACTAAAATGTTAGTAAAATATTAACATTTTTCATTTATATTAAAATTTTGTAACGCCGATAGCTGTTTATCACTCATGATGTGACTGCAATCATAACAAGCAAAACCATCACTTAATGGAGATTGAAAAAAGAGTGTGATTGTGAGTGCAATCATAACATGGGCCTACGTTCGCTATGTCTACGACTAGACATGATTCACACCTTAATTTATGATTTAAGTCAATATTGAGATTTCATTTCTGATATGTGGAGTTGGTCTTTAATATTTGGTTATCGAAGATTACTTTGAAAATCTCTTTTATATAGAACTAAACAAATAAAAATAAATTGATTATTTGTTTTATTCATTCTATTGCTATATTATCTATTCAAAATTTTGCTACTATACACAGTTATTTTGCTAATATAAGAATAATTGTTTTTTTTCTCGCTATTTAATGCAGCTCTGCGTTGGTCTTTTTGACAGTTGGGTGAAAGCGAAATAGTTTCGCTGACGTGACGTACTAAGAGAAATAAAAGAGAAAGAGTGGTTAAGTGAAAATTTTGAATAAAAAGTATAATATTATAATTTAAAGTTATAATTATTAAATATATACTCTATTAAAATAATAGGTAATCAAGTTAATTATGCCTTAGAACAGAAATTGATAATGACACACTAATTATTAGATCACTACGCTATATGTAAGGGAAAATAAATAATATAATTCTATATTAGATTGTTCAACAAATATCCAAATACGGGAAACTTAGTTTATTTGCTCTAACAAATAAAATGTATTGGATACGTTAACGTTAGCCAATTAGCATTTTAAAAGAGAACTCTTTCAAAACAAACGGACGATTTTTATAAACAAAAGCAAGCAGCAGCGGTGGCAGTAGATCAGTTGCTGTGGCATAGGTGGCAGATGTGGGATAAAGAAATTAGCTGATTGCATCGCTTCATTTAAAAAGGAACGATAGCCAGCCACTACGCCAGATTTCACATTGTACAATATAGCACACAAACTCCCCTCAATGCGTCGCTATAAGCGAACACAAAATAACTAAACAAACCATTGTAAAAATAAACAAAAGTAATTTTTAGCTATTTGAAATGAAAGAATATTTTAAATTCAAGGTAAACGGAATAGAAACTCACACAACAAAACACCTGAACTGGCAACAGCGAAATCAGTAATACATAGACTCTGAGTTGAATTATAGGTACGTATACACCTTATATGTTAAGTGATTGACAAATGCGTATTTTATTAAATTTCTCATGTTCTTCAAATGTAATTTATTCATTTTTTTATCTTGAATAGAAATGTCTACAACTGTTATTAAAAAGAATCAGTCTAGAGCGCATACAGATGACAAAAATGATATGTCACAAAGCTCACCGTTTCTATATCATCATAACAATAAAACAGCACATAGAGAGGATGAAGACTCATTCAACAATTTAACAACGAACGGTGCTCAAAATACTACCGTCAGCAATGGTAATGTACCTAAAACAACATATGTCACAAATACGTCATTATCATCTGGAACTTTTATGAAACTTAAAACATATTTACTCGCGCTACGCCCATGGTCGCTGTCGGGTAGTTTGGTGCCTACGTTAATGGGATCCGCACTAGCATATCGTTCTCAATGGTCAGAGAACTTTAGCCTTATTATATTCTTCCTAACTGCGTTTACGGTAGTCACTGTACATTGTGCCGGTAATGTGGTTAATACATATTTTGATTTCATCAAGGGCATTGACAAGCAAAAAGCGGATGATCGTACACTAGTAGATCATATACTTACAAAGGATGAGGTAAGCTGCATATTTTTCTTTTGTTTAAATGTTCCCAAGCACTTTGTAAATCTGTTTTGTTTATATATTTTATGTTTTTTTTTTATGTATTAAAATTATTTTTCTCCGAATATTAGAATATATAAACTAACTTATAGATTTTGATGGTATTGTGAAAAATGTTAATATGTGCGTATAAATTATTTTTCTGAGTATAATGATTTTTCTTCCATTATTTATGAAATTAATTTTAATTTGAATTCTCTTTGATAAATATGTGTTTGTATAAATTAATTACGGTCAAGCAGCTGGATATAAATCATTTATCATTTATATTTTCCATATTCATAAATTGTGTATAAAACAGAATTTTTTTATTAGATTAAGGCGGTTGTATATAGTTAGTTTAGGTATATAAACATATTATAATTTATTTATTTAGTTCATTAAAAATATATTAAGTATAATATTTATAAATTATTTTGTATAATAAAAATTACAAAGTTCTTTATATGAACTGTTATAAGGTTATAATGTCTAACAATATATTACAAAAACCAATATAAGCGGCATGAGAGTTGTCATTTCATTAATCATTATTATCATTATTAATCATTATTATGTACAGACGATTAAAAATCGTTCACCACACCCGGCAGCGATACAAAAAAATGTTATATTTCTCACCTTTGTAACAGCAACATTCTGGTTTCCATTACTACGAATGTATTAAATACTTGATTTTAATTTCACTGACCATTTTAGTGCTATGCATTTAGTATTTATTTCTGTTTTATATATTTTCTATAATATTGCTGTTTTATTTCCGCTTTAATGTTCTACCAGGCAGTTCCTACGACTTCTATATGTTCGTTAGCCTTCCTGCCAATTATTAAAGCTGCAACGGAGGTGGTAAACTATACGTGGTTATCTATGTTCATTCTTTTTTTTAGGTTCTAGACCAAGCCGCTCATTAAAACGATAAGCTTAATTATGTCATTAACAATCATTATTACCAATTCTCCTCCTTGACCCAGATTGAATTCAATTCAAATCCCACTCACTCCTAATACTTTTTTGATCCTAAATAATCTCATCACCTACCTACATCTTAAGCCATGTATATGTATTTGTAATATCTTTCATGTTATCAGTTTGATAGATCTCTACGGGTTACCATAGAAACAACATTATCGCCAATAGTTGACCGCATTAACGTAGTCTTTAAACAATTTACCGCTTGTATATTTTTTATAAAACCGTCATTAAATAGATCCCAGTTCACCTTATTAAATTTGTTATAAGCTTTCATATCACCATCAAAATTATAATGAGATTGTAATCTGAGCATAAAATATTTGTTCTTCGCATTAGTGAACATTTGCCAACGCAGTAAAATTTCATCCACAATGTGGTAACAAATCCGTATTAAATCTTAAGATGTCATTAGTCTATATAACTTTATTTCATATTAAGCAAATATGCTTAGTATTAAGTATAAGATAGGTCGTCAACATCGATAGATTTCGGTCTATAATACTTGACTGTATGGAGAATATGAGTCTGACAAGAAACTTTATTGGCAAGTAAACGGAGACCTGTCCGATTTTGAAAGCTACTGATCTAATTTATAATAGTATAAATTTATATAGATTATAATATTATATTTTATATGCAAAATATATAAATATACGTTAACACTTCTATAAATGTCAACTATAATAGAAAATCAAGCACTTTTAAATAAATTAATTATGTTTGCCTTACTAATTAAAAAATTTCTATTTAATTAAAGAATAATTTTATAATTATATTATTAATTTAGTTTTTACATTTTAATAATAGTTTCATAATATTATTACATAGTAATTGCTATACTATGGTATTGCTGTGGAAAGAAAAATTTTTTTTTGTATGATTTTTATTATATAGTAATTACTAGAGGAATTATTTACATAATTATCATAGCTTAGTAGACACATTATAAAGCAGATACTTCAAGGTTAAATTATTATTTATTCAGATATCTAATAAGATATTTCCGAGTGAAATTATTATTTATATTTTATTATCAAGTGCAACAATCCAGCTGAAAATCAACAGCTGTTTTTATTGTGTTAATATTTTTCAAGATAACTTTACAGCCGACTTCAAGATAATGTTTAATTGAACCCTGCGTCATTATATATAACAGTCTACGATAAAACCTAAATGGTGACTAAACATGAAGTTCAGTTAGTCAGTGTTTCTAATCAATGAACACCTTTCTGGATTGAAAGGTGCCGTCATATATCACAACATCGAAAAAGTCCATCAAATGCGATTAAATAATCTTAAAACAACTCATGCTTGGCCACATTTAAAAAACATTGCCTAAACATTTAGACATGAGAAAGTGTGTCTTTAATGTGGTGACAACCCAGTTCACTGAGCAATTATTGTTTCAACAAAACAATTTAATATATTGTCCCACACTATGATAGTCATCATAGTCAAATCATGGTCATGAGTTTGTCAAATATAGTCATGTTAAGCTGTTTTATAACTATGGTTGCTTTTTTTATTCAAATAATCTTCCCATTCTTGTAGAGGCCTATTAGAACCACCTTTTTTGAAAAACGGTGGTACTTTGACGTTCTTAGCATTCGTCCAGTCAGTACTGAAACCTTTGATTAATTCTAATACGTTTATTATGCTCTCATCGCTTTGCATTTTTTTAAAGACATCAATTAAATCGTGTGGTCAAAGGCGATTCAATGCTTGTATATAGGAAAAATATCTAAAAATATTTAACATGTACATAAATGTCTATCAAATAAGATTTAATCTTTGTACTTCTAAAGAAATCTATAATAAGTAATATTGATTATGTTCTCTTCAGAGCAATCCTCTAAAATATAATATATTTGTTCGCAAGCGTTTTTTAATTTCGAAAGCATTTTATAAACTCTATTTTCGATCTCATTTAGTGTCTACAGCGAAACGAAATAATAAATAATAAGTTTCCTTTAGCTTCATAAGAAGAAAGTACAAATAATATGTGACAAAATAACGATTTTTTTTTTATCAAGAAATCAAGAATAAGCAGTAAAGTCTGAGCGGAAACACTATTTTGTTGAAATTACCACAAGTAGGTGTGGTGACTCATGATGCACTACATCAATGAAACCCAAAGAAATAGTCAGAGCTGCCTTTGGATAAAAGATTGGGGAATATTGGGGTATTTGTACATGCAAAATAACTATTTAATACATGACTATATACAGACCTAAATTGAGTCAGAGGAAGTTTTGATTCCAACATTAGTTGGGAATGTGTTCCTGATGCTTCGTCTTTTAAGATACCCAAGTGGTCCTTTCTTTGTGTAACAAGCACAGAAAAAGCGGGTATATGTGTTTTTTTTTGTCATTAATTCCTCTTGGCTCTTGCTATTATTTACTACCGTAAAGAAGTACTGAGACATTGAAAATATATATATTTCTATTGTGCGAATAATATAGAGTAACAATAGTTGCAATTGAACTATATTTATTTTATTGTTTTAATTTGTTAAAATCTACATTATTATTTATATATTTGTATTTAATAAATATTATAAACAAAACTATTTTAACTGTTTATGTTTATTTTAGGTTGTGTCATTGGGTGCAATACTATATATGGCAGGATGTGTTGGCTTTATTTGTCTGGCCATTTTAAGTTCTGCCAAAATGGAACACTTAGCGCTCATATATTTTGGTGGATTATCATCAAGTTTTCTTTACACAGGAGGCATTGGCTTTAAATATATTGCATTGGGTGATCTTGTTATACTAATATTATTTGGACCACTTTCGGTACTGTTTGCTTTTATGTCACAAACTGGACACGTTGATTGGTCAACAATATACTATGCCATACCATTGGCACTAAATACAGAAGCGATATTGCATAGTAATAATACACGCGATGCTGAGAATGATCGTAAGGCTGGCATTGTGACGCTTGCCATACTCATTGGACGTACTGCTTCACATGTATTATACGCATTATTGCTATTCACACCATACAGCATATTCTTCGTTTATGGACTTAAATACTCATATTGGTTTCTACTGCCGCTTATAACAGTACCGAGGGCATTTAAAATTGAAAAACTATTTCGGAATGAGCAGACGATGACAGTGGTGCCACGACAAACCGCTAAACTAAATTTCTTCTTTGGCATTTTGTATGTGGTGGCATGTTGCTGTGCAACACAGTTACCAACATTCAGTTTTCGTCGGCACTGAGATTAAGGCAACAGATCACACAGGCATAATACGTTATGCTTAAGTCTAAATTTGTTATGGCATTAAGGACACAAACATTATTAATGTTATTAAGTTATTTATCTTTATCTTATTAAGTTATTAATGTTGTTAAGTTATTTGTGTTATTAAATTATTCAAGTTGTCACAAGACTTAATAACATACGTTTGCAATATTCAAATATAGTTGTTCTGAGGATTTATTTCGTGAAAATATTTCAATAAAATTACAAAGACATTCTGAGGACCTTCTGAGAATAGTGAAAATATTTAGTGATGATAAACAAATCAATAAAAATCTACAAATATTTTTGTATTGTTGTATTGTAAAATGTCAGTATGTACAATCGCATGGAATTATATTACGGAGAAATTTGAAGAAGAAGTATTAAAATATTCTGTTGTTGTTGTAATCCATTGAATCATGTCAGTTTGGGCAATACCATCAAACAGAAACTACTCTTAGTCTCTGTTATAAAATATTAATTGTTTTAATTATTTAATTAATAATTAATTATTTTAATATTAATTAATATTTTTCTTTTCAAATCAATAAACACAAAACAACAGCATTTTATTAAATACTTCTTAAAAATTTTATGGAGTTTCTTAAAAACTCCGAAAAATATTTGTTAAGTGCAATGGAACTAGTTTTGTACATACTCGGGAGATGCTTCTAAAATTTCAAATAAATATTTGAATCATAATACAAAAAATATTAATATTCAATTAAGAAAAATGTTTTTTTAAATCTACTAAATAAAATATTAATATTACTGAGACATAAATATTAATAAAACATTAATATTAACAAAACATTAATATTAACAAAAATTTAATATTAACAAAACATCAAATTTAATATAAAATTAATATTAATAAAATATTAATATTTAAATAATATTAACACTAAACAAATATTAATAAAAAATTGTTAATTTCATATTATTATTAATAATATATTATTATTAATAATATATTATTATTAATAATATATTATTATTAATAATATATTATTATTAATAATATATTATATATATTATTATATTATTATATTATAAATATTATTATTATTAATAATATATTATTATTAATGAAATATTAATATTAATGAGAAGTTATTATTATCGAAATATTAATATAATATTAATATTAATTAAATTTTAATTTTAATGAAATATTAATATTAATGAAATATTAATATCCAGGAAATTTTAATAAATATTAATATTAATGATAAATTAATATTAATAAAATTTTAATATTAATAAAATGTTAATATTAAAAAATAGTAAAATTGATCAAATATTAATAAAAAATTATTATTAATATTATGTTAATATTTACAAATGTTTACAAATTATTAATATATTTAAAAAAAGGTTGATATATTAAAGAAATTATACTAATAAAATATTGGCATTAATAAAATGTTAATATATCAATAAAATTTGAATGTATTGATAAAATATTAGTATTAGTAACACAATAGTGTTACTGAAATTTTTATTAAAAGTCGTAAGATATTAATATATTCATAAAATATTAATTATAATATTAATGTATTAATAACACATTAATATTAATATTAATGTAACAGTAATATTAACAAAACATTGATATTAATAAAACAGCAATACTTATAAAGCATTAATATTGATAAAAAATTAAAACTTAATAAAATATTATTATTAATAAAGTTAATAGAATAATAATATTATATTAAGGTATATATAACACTGAGAATTCGAATCTGACTCGAATTGGTGTTACTATACAATTGCAAAACGCACACACAAATATATAATTAATAATTATATATATTATTATAATATATAATATAATATATATATTGTTATAATATATAATGTATATAATTATAAAATATATAATTTTTTAATATTATATTTAAATAAATTATTTTCTATTTATTAATGTTTATGAGGAGTAGTAAATTATAGCAACAAAATTTTATTTTTAATTAATTATATTATGGACTGTTTTGGATATTGTCAAGTATTTTGAGTCTAAAAACTATTTATGAATATTTAAATCAAACAAATATTTCCAAAGGCCATTGATGAATGATATTTGGCAGTGCCTGAAACAGCTATATAGTTAGTAAAAAATTTAGTTAATAAAAAATAAAATTTTGTTGTAATTCAAGTGTTTAAAAACATTAATTATTTTTTGTTTTAAAAACTTATATTTTAAATAAATTTTTTTATTTTATTAATTTAAAAATTTTAATGAATTTATTTTATTTAAAAATTTAATGAATTTTTTTTTTTAATATTTATTTTAGATATATTTTTTATTTTATTTATTTAAAAATATTCTTTAATATTTATAATATTTTTTTAGTTTAATTGTTTTTAACTTTAAACAATTTCGTTTCTTTTTAATTTTTTTTTATATTTAAATTTTTTTGTTTTAAATTTTTTTGTTTTAAATTTTTTTTGTTTAAAATATTTTTTTTAAATATTTTCACTTTGTGAGGGAATCTTTGGTACAACCTTTGTACATTGCAAACAAAATATGTAATTACTTGAATAAATTTTAGATTTTATATTTTGCTTAAATTTTTATTTTAGACTGAAACACTTTAAAAAATACTGATATTGATTTCTTTTTTGTGACACTAGTGCAAATATATAATAACTTTTTTAAATTGATGTTATACTAATATTAGGAAAATTTGTGAGAAAAAAAATGCAAATAAAATGCATGCAATTTTAAGTAGAAATCTGTAGCTTTTTTAGTTGCAAATTTAAAATATATATAGTATATGTAATGTTCATGAACTATTCTAATGGTAAAATCTCATTATATGAATTATATGAATAGCTCATTTCATTCAATTAATCACATTACATATATGCGCATTAATTATTATTGCATTACAATTACAATACTTTAGAGCAAAAATTAGGGAATTTTTTTAAAGAAAAGTGAATTTCATATATAAAAATTATTATAAATTCATTCACATTTTTAAAACTCATAGCATCGCCAAAAGTAACAAAAGTAAACAAATTTATAGCTTAATTAATTCTCAAATATAATACGGGAATAATAATGTTTGTACGAGCTTTAAAAATTATAGAATCTTTACTTTAGCATATCATTGACTAATATACATTTTGATGTATTTAAAAATATATTTATTTATTTAGAAATGATAAATATTATAGTTTATGCTTTCAGTGCTAATTGCTAAAAACATATTTATTAGGAAATTTGTATTGGCTTCATTACATTACGTTTAGATTGAACACTTTAGACGAATACTTTTAACAATCGAAACTCAATTAAATTTTTTACATAGAATTCTATTAATTTAAAATTTGTAGAAATTGTGACAAATAATTTAGCATATTTTTGAAACAAAACTATATTATATTAGAATGAAAATATTTACATATAAACAATACAATTAGAAGAAGTAACTATATTTATTTATCGCTATGGGTCATAGTATCCCTGTGTGCACCTCGCTTAATGGGGTTGTCATTCTGTTTTAATTAATTTACTATAATTTAATTTTAACCGGTTGTTATTTTATTTTAATTAAATTAATATAAGATTTAACCGGACTTAAGGTCGTTTAGTTCTGAATACAATTAATAATAATTAAAATAATGTTTTTAAAATTGTTTGATTTAAATTAACGAATTATAAATGATTTATTATAAAAAATTAATTAAAATTTTTAATAAATTTTAAATTGAATAATTTTAATTAGATATTTTATTATTATTTTTTTTTGTATTAAAGTCTTGCGATCTGTATAATATGAAAATAAAAAGGACGATAATAATTTTTAGTTAAATTACTCAATTAAAAAAAGAAATTTTAATTTTATTAATTAAATTATATTAAATGTTAGTTAATTATATTATTTAAAATAAATTTTTAAAAAGTCTTTAATTTTTATTAAACAATCAATCTTACGTATGTTATACAAATTATAAAAATAATATACTTGCATTAAGTTTAATGATTTATTGCTTAAAAATTGCTGAAATTATATAAGATCTATACAATATTTTGAATTATTTTCAATTAAAACATAAAATTTAATAACTTTAGTAAAGAATTTGAAACTTTTAAAATAACTCTTGCATGTAATTTATATTTTAAATAAAAATTTTTAATTGAAATTATTTATATACTTAATTATGATTTAAAATACGAACAAAAATGAAATTAAATACATATATGTAATATAGTACCAAATGGAATATATATATATTTTTTTTTTTAAATAAAATTAAAAACGCCAATAGTACTTTATTTTTATTTTTAAATTTTTAAAATACAAAATGAAAAATTGTTTTTAACCCAACGTGTCACGACTTTTTTAAATATTTACAAAACAAAAAAAAATAAAAGAAAAAGTACCATTAACCTTTTTAAATTAATTTTAAAAAAGTTTAAATAAATTCCATTAATTTCACGCTCCATTTTCATAACCTTACAGTCAGCCAACATAGTTTATATTAAAATACATTAATAGTTTTGTGCAATTAATTTTAAGTACATACATAAATATATTTATTAATTTAGAATATAAAAAATATGTTGTTTTATAAACAAGAAAAGATTTTTATCTATTTGCAATCAAAATGCACAACAACAAAACAAAACCTAAACAAAAAAACCGAAAAACAGAAACTAAAGTAATGAATTTTATTTATATATAATGATTTTAATACAAGATATAATATATTATAAGATTTTTATAAATTTTTTTATAAATAGTGTCGAACAAAAACTTTAACTACATATAAAAAAGTACTTAAAATCATATAGATATAACTTGATGATTAGATACATTAATGAAAAAAAAACAATACCCTATTAACATTCAAATATACTAATATGCCTGCATGTACTGTTGACTAGTAATTATTCTAAATACTAGTTACTAAATTGAATTAAATCGATATTTCCATACTAACGTAGTAACAAATAATAATAACAGCTAGAAAGATGTATTATATGTATTCCTCATATCAAAAATACATACTAACATTACTAAGCACAA